TGTAACATGGCGCTGTGTTTGTCCTACGACAGAGTTTTCCCAACCTGGGGTGCGAGGTGGCATTTCTAAGAGTGCGAGGAATTGGATTATGTGACCAAAAAAGATATTAGCTTTTAGGCAATGATAGAAATATTTAAATATGTGTAAACATTGATTTATTAACTTTGTAATTTATATAATAAGTGAAAAACATGTTTTCCAAGGATTAATACAAGATATGTTTAGGTTTAAAAATAATTGATAGGACATTTAAGTCGAAGTTTCTGCTAAGTGTTCTATTTATATATGTACTAAGCACGACATTTCTCTCGGCAAAAGAAAAGATCACATTAGAAGTCCATTTATATTCACTCTTTAACATGAACTGTTACTTTTGTAGGTGTGTGGGAGTACTAGTAAAACAGTTCACAGTGGATTCGAGACCTGTCAAATAATTTGTTGGGCACGCGGAGTATAGAAAGGTTGAGAAACCGAGTCCTATGACCTAGACCTTTCCCATATGTTTTAGAAATAGTGTGATAGTGGATATTACTATGATATGTTATTTTATCATTGCTTTTTTTTTTTACTGTCCATCGGCTCGATGATTGTTGGATTTTTTGGCGGTTTGATATTCTATGATAATAACATAAAATGTGACATGACTTATGACTGACCATGGGCTGGCCGAAGACTGATCCTGGGCTGGCCAAAGACTGACCATGGACTGGCCTAAGATTGACTATGGGCGGGCCAAAAACTGACCATGGGCTTGCCGATGACTGACCATGAGCTGGCCGAGGACTAACGATGGCCTGGACGAAGACTGACCATGGGCTGGCCAAAGACTGAATATGAGCTGGCTGAAGACAGACCATGGGCTGGCCGAAGACTGACCATGAGCTGGCCGAAGACTGAGCCTGGGCTGGCGATATGTTTCAGTGTTCTAGACATGAGCAACTGCCAAAAGATTACCAGCATCGTTATGGCCAAGAACCAGATTTACGTCACCGGCTGGAGTAAATACATCAATGTGTTTAGTGACTTCAAAGGGGAGGAGGCTATCAAAAAGGTGAGAGCTTGTCGGTGTTTGCGATAGCTGTCAGACATGTTTCAATACCACGAGCAAAGTATGTTGTGTATACATTTTTTGTTATAACGAAAAACACCACATGGGTTGGCGTCATCAACGGTAAACATCGATTTGACCTTTTCTGTTAAGGTAAGATATTTGCGGGGAAACAAAGTTAAAAATTAAACCAAAAAAAACAACAACAAAAAATGGGACATAACTCTTGATCAAAAAATAATGATAACTACCCGCATATTGAAACAATGTCAAGTTGAATTTCTACCCTGAGACTGACTCAAGGGTATCACTGTGAATCCTGATCAACAAAACCTTGTTGTCCTAGGAAATAATCAGATAGTCATCTAGCCATGGCGGTGCGAACGAAAAGTTGCGCAAGGGGGGGGGGTGCAATGTCTGAAAATGGTGACACCTTCACCCATTTCATCATTATTGATATATGTCACATCTCTCTCTCTCTCTCTCACCACTCTCTCTCTCACCACTCTATCTCTCTCTCTCTCTCTCTCTCTCTCGCTCTCTCTTTCTCTCTCTTTGTTACTCTCCCTCTAACACACACATGCTTTACATAATGTATAATTTATTATTTTGACGCCCTTTGATGTTGGCTCCCTTGGCAGTGTGCCACTTCACTCCATTCGCACGGTCCTGCGTCTAACAATATTATTTCTTAGAATTTCATTTTTTTTTTTGTTTAAACTGGACGTCAGCTACATTATCATAGCAAATATCGTTTGTTCCTTGTATTTGAAGTACGGCTGGCATCTATTATGTTTTTATCTCACAGTCCTGGTCAATAAAACACAATGATGACTGCCTGGCACTGTGCATCTTGGAACCCAATCTCATCGCCTCTGCAGCCTACGACGGCAGCATCATTGTATGGTCTCGTGAAACGACGGAATCATATTGCAAGTGAGGCTTATGCGCTATGAGTACAGGGGTCCTCAAAAGTTTTAAAAAAACGGACCGGACAAGTGTCATCAGACATTGTCGGGACCAGATCCGAATCCCTTAGACAATGTCACCGGCCAGACTATAGCTTTTTTTTAAAATGTATATGCGCACTGCCAACATTTCATTTACACTGATGGAAATAAAACATGAAAAAACAACAATATATTTAAAATGAATAAAGAATTTGTCCAACACAAACTTAATAGTACGTAAAAGGTAAGTTTGGCCAATGAAATGATCAATGTCTGGTTCAATATTTATCCCTGCCGGCCAGGTACTGTTCATGGGGGCAATGTGAGCCGGATCAATTATCCCTGGCGGGCCGTAACCAGACAAGTTTCAACTAACGATGGGGTTTTTAATAGTCAGCTTTCAGACATTCGTCATGCTGTTTTCGTGGCTGCGTACTGTTTTATCCTTATTGTATTTCTTTTTTTGTTCCTTCATAGAACCGGGCATTGTGAGACTGTGTTTTAAAATATGCCGTTTATGATTTTTGCTGTTTTTGGTTTCAGGATGCACGCTTCGTTTGGCAGTCTACCTGAGCTCGACACGGCAGTGAGGGGCGGGGGCAACAAAAATAATATCATGTCTGTAAGTGCATCTGGTTGTATTACAACTGTAACGATAGAGATATCATGTCTGTAAGTGCATCTGGTTGTATTACAATTGTAACGATAGAGATATCATGTCTGAAAGTGCATATGGTTGTATTACATCTGTGACAATAGCGATATCATATCTGTAAGTGGATCTGTTTATATTACAACTGTGGCAATAGAGATATCATGTCTGAATTGCATATGGTTGTATTACAACTGTGACGATAGAGATATAATGTATGTATGAGCATCAGAATCTATTACATCTGTGACGATAGAGATATTATATTTTTAAGTGCATCTGGTTGTATTACATATTTGACTATAGAAAAATCATGTCTGTAAGTGCATCTGGTTGTATTAAAGCTTGACAATAGAGATAGCATGCCTGTTAGTGTATTTGGTTGTATTACATCTAAGGACTATTAATACTGTTCGTAACGATATTCTGATACGTATTTTATAATATTAAAATGTGCCATTTTGTAAATGGAAAGGTTTTTTTCATTTTTAATTTCTTTTGTGACCCAGTTTATTCCTTTTGTAAACGCCTTTACTTACCATGACTAAACTTAACATTTTTAGTTACAGTTTACAGGGAAAGCAATGGGACAAACTGAACATGTAACTCTTTTCCAAAAGTTATTTCCCTTGCACCATTTTTTTTTTAAAGTAGTGTTTGGGGCGAGTTACAATTTTCTAGTATTCCCTAATGAACAAGTCTTTATATTCCCTTCCTATCGCTATGGACATATTGTTATTTGTGGAAAATATTGGTTTGAAAATGCATTAAAAATAACTTGGTTTATGCTTTTTTAAAGGTTATTGCAAGCAACTTCCAACAGAGCGGATGTGAATGGGTCAAAGTTTGATCATTGAATCTATTCAGTAAATTGGGAATTCAAAATTGTTTCCTCCCGAAGTTATAGTTAAAAATAATTCCCCCTAATTGAACTGAGTTGAACTACCGTAACTACACAAAACAATGGCATTAGATGAAATTACTGAAATATAAATACCTTACGCGTATATGAGAATGTGGGTTCTGGTTCGTTTCTCCTCCTCAGCATGTACTTCTCTACACATTCAACTGAACTAAACTTCTGGTAGGCAAACATCTTCAGTTGCCTAAACAATCAGAAACCTTTTCTTAAAACAAAAACTTTAAAAAACAAAGCCCTGTTTTAAATTTAATATGAAAGAGAACAAAAATGTTGTCAGAAAACTTATAATCTCTCAATAGACATATTTCTATAAAGTCGACACAGAGTGTTTTATATGAGCCTGTCGGTTGAAAGCGATTTGTTGTTTAGTTGAAGAAAACGAAGCTCACGCCGCGAGCGATAGACCGTCGACGCTTGTGTGCGTTGTGGATGGTTCAAGGACCAGATGAATATCGGACACGTGACTCGGATCATGTCAACATTTAAAGGGTTTCCATTTATTGGGGTGACAGGTGGCCGCAGACATGGAGACCGCGGACCAAGACGACGGCGATGAAGAAAATCAGGGAGAAGACGCCTTCATGACCATCGGGAGACACCTGAGGAAAGAAGGTGGATGGTACAGGCTGCTGCGCGCCCTCAAAAAACGTCAAATTGAGCGAGAAAAAGTGAGTGGCTTCAGTTAATTTGTCGCTATACATCTCTTATATATATTTTATAAAACTCTAGATAACTACGCTGAATGAATTTTTTTTAAATAACGCAACTGCGTTTGGTGCGTAATATTTTCTAAAAATAAAATCGTCCCAATTTCAATATGGTATAATAAATATTCAGTTAAAAAGTGGTTGGGACATGAGTATATTGATATGGTTCAGGGGCGTGAAATAAAAAGTGTACAGTGACGTATCATGGGGGGAATAGGTGGAGCAAAAATTGAGAAGTAGGTGTACTTTAGTAGATGGGAAGTTCTCGGATTGATGTCGCCAATGTTTGGCGGGCTCTATCTAGTAGTAAACATAGATGTCGGTATTATCACACTTTATGTTTTATTTTCAAGTTAGTGTGTGATTCACAAGTGTAAACTTTTAATAAATACAGATTAGTTTGTGGAGAATGTTAGGCTATTTATGAATAATTATAAGTTAATTGCAAGGTAAAACTTGATGGACTTAACTCGGTACAAAACGCTCTCTTAGTTTATAAGGACTTATTTTTAAATACTGTTTTAGTCGCTTAAGAGAATAACTAACCAGTCATAACAATGAGCAATTCTTTACAGCATCTAAAGAAGGCATTGCTTACAAACGTATTTTTGAAAGTCGATAATTAATATAAACGTTAATGGCTGAATCGTGTGTACCCCCCAGAGGCGAGCCGCCCTGGAGCGCAAAGATTTCAGCGCCAAGTACAAGAAGAAGAAGAAACGTATGAACATGCAAGGGCTGAGTTTAGTTTACGAGTCTGCCGTGGAATGTCTGGTCTTTCTGGAAACCCGGCGGCCCATTGACCCACAGACGGCCACATTGATTGCTGGGTGAGGGGCGTGGATTGGTAGTATGTAAGGCCCTGATCCGTGGTATATAACGCTATGATTTGTAGTATGTAACGTCACATCTCTAGTCCAACAATCGTTTACTCACGTTTCTCAATATATAATTGAAAGCTCTTTCTTTTTTTTTTCAAAGAAATAGTTCAGCTATGAAATTATCTTAATTATAAAAAAAAAAGATTTAAGACATTTTTAACTGTGTGTGAAAATCTCAACACATCAAGTACAAGTAAGCCAATTTATTCACACACTTTTCTTTAAATAATGAAAATTTAGAGCATTGTTCTCAAAGAAAAGAAATTAAAAATAATTTTTTTTTTAAATTTAAAATTGTCACGTCCTTTTTTATGCACATACAGATCAATTCAATTTCATTGCACAATCATTATTTGCATTAAGTGTTCTTAATTATTTTTTTTGTATACTGTTTTACGACGATCGGCTAAAAAAGTTTGTGTAACAATGAACGCATAATGTAATGTTATTCTTACTGAATGAACGTGTAAGTATTTAAAAAAATATATATTTCACCATGTTAGACCTAAAATTGACTACGCATGTTACAGGTATTGCAGTTATAGAATCACTGACAAATTATCACTGTTACTATCTTCCGTCTTACAATTAACAAACTCCCGCAGTAGGCGCGGATTCTGAACGGCAAGTTGGATAAGCCCAACGCCGGCCTTAGGTAAAATCTCGTCCCGTGCGAAGCAACCGTTCAGCGCCCCCTTCCCTGTCTCTGTATGGCTCAGATCTTTTTTCCGATTTCGACGTAGGCTATGGAGCACGGTTTAAGATGCTATACGTGTAGCTAACCATACACATCTTAACATGCACATTAATTTAGATTGTTTAGTTTTTCTATGGTGCTTTGTTCCATTTCCACACCACCTTTGGGGTGGTCCATAAACTGCCCCCCTCTGAGGTAGGAACTATCAGTGCGTTTTTTTTTAAAAGGAATATCCCCAGGCGCCACTGTGACAACGGCGCCCCGTGCTGGGGCACATGTCACACACCCTAAAGGCCGGCGTTGATAAACCCCACTTGTTGTCCAGGGAAACAATAGTATTATGTCCAGCGAATGCTTTAGTCCACGACCACGCTTGGTGACTTTAATAAGGAACAAATGCTGAGTGAGAAAAACAGAGTTCTTTATTTGTAAGATCCCCTTTAATTATACACTCTGCCCAAAAAAACTAGTTGCACGTAATGAAAAACTCCTTGCCAACAACAAACAAGATGGCCGATCCTCTAATCTTAGTTCAAGACCGTGCTCTCACAAAACACTTGGGGAAACTGCCTTCAACATAACTGAACACACTACCTCCTGTCCTTAGGCTAGTTTTATCTCTACTTTTTAACTATTTCCAAAGTCTCTCGACAACCACCACTCAGCATATTCTAAATCCAACACCACGAAGTAGGCCTACGACCTGACCTTGCAAAGCCCCTCTCGAACAATCACATCTCTCCCTCACAAAAAGCTCAAACGTATTTACACTTTTCATAACAAACATTCACACTCCTAAATCTAGTTCATCACACTCACAAGCTAAAATTAAAATTAACATTTAAACTATTAGCATAGATTATAATTAACTGCTTAAAAATTTTTAATACTTTTTTTGTTAAAGAGGTGCCGAGTGTTGGTTACGGTTCTGGTCCCTCCACCCCAAGGGGGGCCTGCTCGGCCAGTTCACCAGCACAAGGCGGAAGCTAGAGAGCATCGGATGCATGACGACGGACAAGAACAACGAATATCTCATAACAGGGGATACTATGGGACTTTTGAGGGTATGGGGGGCTTTTTACTTATACCAGGCGCGGTCAAACACATGTTGTTTCCCACATCATAAATGTGTTGGACTGCGATAAAGCTTTAAAATAAATTTATAAATTAGACACGAACAAATTGTCTCCGTGAAACAATATATGTTTAGCTTTAATAATAATTTTACATACTACACAAGTAAACGTTTCAGCCAATGCCTTCATCAGTATAACAGCAAAACATTTAAATAAATGTACATTAAATTTACATAAATATATATATATATATATATAATATTTAAGTTTACTTTAAAAAAAATAGAATTAAAAATAAAATCTCACATCATTCATGGTGATGGAATTTGTTTTTCATTCGTTATGGTTAGAACAGATACAAACAAAAATAAAGAAGTTCTTCTGTCATTCAGGAAACAATAACCCTTCTTCGGGAATAATATAAGAAGATGAACGAGTTTGTTTTTATTCACTTAATCACATGCTACAGCAGAATCTGGGACTATTTAAGTGGCTCAAGCATCTGAGATTCCTATTCACTTAACCACATGCTACAGCAGAAACTGGGACTATTTCAGTGGTCCGAACATCTGACCTCCCATCATCTGTTGTAACTTGTCGGTAGATAACGAAAACAGTCCCTTTGCTCATTCATCTAGTTTAATTATCGCTGAAAACCTAGGTACTTTTTGGTGGCCCAGCGTTTTCTTAAACAATTTGTATGATTTAACTTGATATTATCTTGAATACATACATTACAAAGATTCAATAATTCCTTTTTTTTTTAAATCTAACAAGCACTACGCTAGCTCATCCGTAATGCCGAACAACACTTATTGCCCATTAAATGGGGGTTGTCTTGTCGTGAATGCTGAGTTGTGTTGCGTCAGTAAAGTGCAATTATTTTCCCCCAACGAACAGATATGGGACATCAAAGAGTTCTGCAACGCCGACAAGTTGAGCCCGGAGGAGCGAGAAGAGAGGGAGAAACGCCTGAAGAAGACGTTTGTCTACACCAGACTTCCCTTCAAGCCCGAGGAGATCCTGGACACCATGGTGAAAATTTTTTTTTTTTTTTTTTTTAAATTAGTTTTAATACAACTGAAATAGAGAGCAAGCAATCAAGCAATTTTTTTGTTGGGACGGCGCCTCTATAACTAAACAAAGAGTGACTCAATAACACTGGTATTTTTAGTTGAAGGGAAAAAAAATTAAAGTTTATTCCACAATGGCGATCAAATCAAATATATTATCGCTTGAAACAGGCAAGAGTAATTTAGTTAAATAAGGTGTAAAGGATCTGTCTATATTTGTATAAAACTATTTTGGAACGAGTAAAGCTAGGATGCGCCAAATTTTGATAGAATATGGTGTCACGCTAGAATTCGCTGTTTCTCGAATTTCTATTTTCTAGCTTAATCAGAACCTACATTAATTAATAAAAACTCAGCAGTGTTAAGTGTCACACACAGCCATGGTGTCCATAAATTTATCACTTTCTTTCCATCAGCTGAGTAGCTTTAAGTGTCACACAAAGCCCACAGTGTTCATACATTTATCCTTGCTCCTTCCACCAGTTGAGTAGCGTGAAGTGTCACACACAGCCAATAGTGTCCGTTGAACTGATCGATGAGAGGAACATCATCATCACAGCCAGTTTAGACCGAACGGTTCGCCTGTGGACCAAGAACTGTACTTACATCGGCACGTTCGGGGAGATATGGAAGCCCATCCCCACGGTGGTCGGGGCTGTTGTGTAAGTGAGGCTGTTGTGTAAGCGAGACTGTTGTGTAAGTGAGGATGTTGTGTAAGTAAGGCTCTTTTGTAAGTGAGGCTGTTGTGTAAGTGAGGCTGTTGTGTAAGTGAGGCTGTTGTGTAAGCAAGACTGTTGTGTTAGTGAGGCTGTTGTGTAAGTAATGCTGTTGTGTCGGTGAAGATTTGCGTAAGTGAGGCTGTTGTGTATGTAAAACTGTTGTGAAAGTGAGGCTGTTGTGTAAGTGAGGCTGTTGTGTAAGCGAGACTGTTGTGTCGGTGAGGCTGTTGTGTAAGTAAGGCTGTAATGTAATCGAGACTGTTGTGTAGGTGAGGATGTTGTGTAAGTGATGCGGTTGTGTAAGTGATGCTATTGTGTGAGTAGTGCTGTTGTGTGCTATTATTTTGCTAGTGAGGTTGTTGTGTAAGTGCTGATGTTCCGAGAAGCTGTTGTGTCAGCCATCCCATTCGAACTGATTCCTTCTCTGTGTCCTTCTTTATGTTGATGAGACCACATTTGTTTATTTGTCGTCAGTGAAAAATTTCCTCGCATTCCTAAAGACATCCAAAGATGTGCATCAGCTCGATCCCTGGCCACGCTACACAACGGGAAAATGCCAAAATGGAGGACTGCGTGCTACGTAGTACGAAGACACATCTACGAACAACGCAGGGTAAGTATCCTGACCATGACCATGGAGACACATCTACGAACAGCGTAGGGTAAGTATCCTGACCATGAATTTTTAGTATACAAATTATCTATAGAGAAACTGTGCCCATATCGAAAAGCAGAAAAATAGGAGGGAACCATGAATTGCAGAAAATTCAGCACATCACTTTTCGTAATTTGGGAATTCAAAAACAGAATTATCTCCCTCCTTGTTAAGAAAATACATTTTAATATTTATGGCTCTTCTTACTACAAAAAAAAAAGGGTTGTAATTAATATGAGTGTCGCTCTATAACTACACTTGGTATTGATGCAAATAAGGTACCCGTGTACACATTGTCTACTCATTTGACCGATCAAAGACCCATGTCCCTCCAATCACCTCCATGTCTAGGAGAAGCAGCTTGAAGAGGCCAAGGCAAAACAAAAGGCCGAGAAACTGGCCAGGGGCGAGCCGGACAGTGATGAGGAGGAGGGCACCGGGGAGAAGCCGGTCAGCAAAATACTCGGAAAGTACTACGTCCCCAAACGGCGCTACAAGGGACCCATGGTCATCAAAGACCAGGGACTCCCGCCACTCGTCATCTTCAAGGGCAAGGTGAGACGGTCATTTTACTGGTCAATACATTGAGATGCATACATTTGATTAAAGAAACACAAATTAAGGTATAAACATATATGGACAGTATGTGAATTTTACTGGTATATTAATGAAGTTTTAAAAGTAGAGTTTTCATGGAATAAGGAGAAGCATTAAAACTTTTTAAATTTGTATTTCTTTTCTTTTCAATAATGAGTTCTAAGTTTTTTTTTTTTTTTGTATTTTATTTAGGCGTTAAAATAATATAACTCTTATTTTTGTGCTCTTTTGTATGCTATTGTTGACCTTTTTGTTTATGTTTGGGGGTTCATGTACACAAGAGTTGTGGGATTGGATTAACTTTTACTTTTTTACAATTTTGTCTGGTTTTTTTGTGTTTGTTTGTAGTGGGTGCGCGTCTGTGTATGTAACGTAACTTAATATAATGGAACTTTATGTAACGTAACTTAATCTAATGGAACTTTATGTAATGTAACTAAATCTAATTGAATTTTCTGTCATGTGACTTTAAAAATGACAATATTTTGTAATTTAAATTTATAAAATGTTACTTTATGAAACTTCACTTTATCTCAGGTAACTTGATCTAATGGAAGTGTATGTAATGTAACTTTATTTCATTGAATGACCACTCCCTATTATGTCTTCCGTAGTGCGCCCCCTACCAGACCACTCTCCCGAAAGCCCTGTACCCCATGGATCCCCTCTATAGACCAGCAACATTCTTTGACATAGACAGTCGGCGACCCCAAGGAACAAAGAACAAACGACAGACTCGCACGGTGAGTCAGTTCATTATGTGTGAGTCAGTTCATTATGTGTGAGTCAGTTCATTGTGTGTGATTCAGTTCATTATGTGAGTCAGTTCATTATGTGAGTCAGTTCATTATGTGAGTCAGTTCATTATGTATGAGTCAGTTCATTATGTGTGAGTCAGTTCGTTATGTGTAAGAAAGTTCATTATGTGTGATTCAGTTCATTATGTGAGTCAGTTCATTATGTAAGTCAGTTCATTATGTGAGTCAGTTCATTATGTGTGAGTCATTTGATTTAGTGCAAGTCAGTTCATTAGGTGTGAGTCATTTGATTTAGTGCAAGTCAGTTCATTAGGTGTGAGTCATTTGATTTAGTGCAAGTCAGTTTATTTGGTGTGAGTCATTTGATTTAGTGCAAGTCAGTTCATTAGGTGTGAGTCATTTGATTTAGTGCAAGTCAGTTTATTAGGTGTGAGTCATTTGATTTAGTGCAAGTCAGTTCATTATGTGTGAGTCATTTGATTTAGTGCAAGTCAGTTCATTATGTGTGAGTCATTTGATTTAGTGCAAGTCAGTTCATTATGTGTGAGTCATTTGATTTAGTGCAAGTCAGTGCATTATGTGTGAGTCATTTAATTTAGTGCAAGTCAGTGCATTATGTGTGAGTCATTTGATTTAGTGCAAGTCAGTTCATTAGGTGTGAGTCATTTGATTTAGTGCAAGTCAGTTCATTAGGTGTGAGTCATTTGATTTAGTGCAAGTCAGTTCATTAGGTGTGAGTCATTTGATTTAGTGCAAGTCAGTTCATTATGTGTGAGTCATTTGATTTAGTGCAAGTCAGTTAATTATGTGTGAGTCAGTTCATTATGTGTGAATCAGTTCATTATGTGTGAGTCATTTGATTTAGTGCAAGTCAGTTCATTATGTGTGAGTCATTTGATTTAGTGCAAGTCAGTTCATTATGTGTGAGTCATTTGATTTAGTGCAAGTCAGTTCATTATGTGTGAGTCATTTGATTTAGTGCAAGTCAGTTCATTAGGTGTGAGTCATTTGATTTAGTGCAAGTCAGTTCATTAGGTGTGAGTCATTTGATTTAGTGCAAGTCAGTTCATTAGGTGTCAGCAAATATTTATTTCCTTTTTATTTCATCCTTATAGTTTTAAAAGTATTTTAAAAAGTCGAGTTATCCGTTTTGTCAATATTTTCCTGATAATTCACTTTTAAATTATTCTAAAACAAGATTACAATACAATCAATCATTTAAGTTAAATAATCGGCACGCCATACTGACCAAATCATCTGTTAATTAATCATTGTAATAACAAAGCAAAACAAAAAGTTAACAGCTACATTACATCAGCATAAAGTAGTACTTGCGGCTAAAAAATAATAAAAATAATGCTTATTTAATTTGAAAATCATACTTCATTCCCAAAGGCTAGAAGCGCGGTAACATGTCATCCAGATTAAAAGAGAAATGAAAAAAATCTATATTTTACCACATTGAAATACAAAGCGCAACATTACAAAAACTACTTTCGAGAATACCCAGTCTAAGAATTTCATCCCTTGCAAACATAAACAAAACAAGCCAATATACATTTAGGAGATAATAGCTAGCTGTAAAAGATGGTAGACAACATCACCCCAGCAGGTGTTTGCGAAATAGATATGTTTTCAAATCGGTTTTGAAAGACTCCAGTGTCTGGCTGTTCCTGAGAGCGACAGGAAGTGTGTTCCAAATGGTTGAAAAAATCATTAAAACATTAATTAAGATTCTAACGTAAAAAAATGTTGCATCTACTGGTGTATTTGTTGTTGTTTGATGGCTGCAAATAAAAGCATATATTCATGATAAATGATACATGATAAAATGATTATGAAAGAATTAAAGAAATTATTTCTTCGAATTAAATGTTTTTGTTTATATAAACGTATTATGTACAATCTTTTTCCCTCTGACCGATGCATTATTTTTTTCACTAATGATGTTGAAGATGATGAATCAATTCAACTTAATCTGTGGAGACCCTACAAGGTTTGGTCAGCAGAGTCGAAGTCAGTCAGCGTCCAGTTGGAACTCGACGCCAAACAAAAGGATGTCTCAGTGTGAGTGCCCAGTGTTGAGTGTCCCGTGTTGATGTTCAGTGTGAGTGTCCAGTTTGAGTGTCCAGTGTGAGTGTCCAGTGTGAGTATCCAGTGTGAGTATCCAGTGTGAGTATCCAGTGTGAGTTTCCAGTGTGAATGTCTAGTGTGAGTGTCCAGTGGGAAGACATAGTTGCGAGTCACTCTAGTTAACAAACTGGGTACCACTTAGGGGAGCCACTTGGCAGTAGGGTAATAAAGTATCTGGAATATGTTTTCTTAAATTGGTACACAAAAATATTTCACTGACAAGGAGTGTGGAGTATGTGCTCAGACGCATGGTAGTTTATGATTGTTCAACACAGGAGCTCTTACCATGAGAATGGAAACAATTTTAGCTCACTGACTGGAAACTTTTCTTTAAATAGTACCTTATAATTGCTTGTTAAAGTCAGAAAACGTTCAGTTGAATCCTATGTTGTTGTTTTTTTTTAAAGTCTGTAAAATTAATGTTTTAATATACGCTTGAAAAAAAAAATAAACATTTAAAATTTAACAGACGCTATTCTTAATTTTATTTCTACAACTTAATTTGTGGAGTCAAGAAATGTTTGAAGGAATGCCTTGTATTTGTTAAAAGCTGTTTGTTATAGGGCTATTGATATCGACAATTGATTGGCTGCTTGCTGCTCGTCAGTGTCGTAGTCTGTAAACACCATTAGGAGCCTAATGTTTAAATAAATAAAACTATTCAATCTTATTCTCACTCCATTGTGTAGTAGGTACCATGCCGTGTTCTTTTGACACCATTTGGAGCCTAATGTTTAAATAAATAAAACTATTCAATCTTATTCTCACTCCATTGTGTAGTAGGTACCATGCCGTGTTCTTTTGACACCATTTGGAGCCTAATGTTTAAATAAATAAAACTATTCAATCTTATTCTCACTCCATTGTGTAGCAGGCACCATGCCGTGTTCTGTTGACACCATTTGTAGCCTAATGTTTAAATAAATAAAACTATTCAATCTTATTCTCACTCCATTGTGTAGTAGGTGCCATGCCGTGTTCTGTTGACACCATTTGGAGCCTACTGTTTAAATAAATAAAACTATTCAATCTTATTCTCACTCCATTGTGTAGTAGGTACCATGCCGTGTTCTGTTGACACCATTTGGAGCCTAACGTTCAAGCAAATAAAACTTAAAACTCATTCTCACTTCATTTTGCAGCGAGTACCATCAACGCTGATCAGAGTTCTAACAGAAGTCCGTCATTTAAGACTAACAACAGAAACATGAACAAAAGTCCTAGTCCTACAGGACACAGCCAATGGTGAGTAAATGTGTGTTTTTAAAGACAGCTACAGCGGGGTCTTTAAGGTAGTTGATTCTTTTTAAAACGTGCCGAGACAGACTTTGAGAAAATCTTCTCCAGAGAATGTCTTTGATTTGAATTATATCATGGGCCCCTTTCATCTGTCCTATTGACATCATAATGTAAATCATGGTCTCTCCCATTTGTTACATTGCTATTATAACGTATATCTGACCGACATGAAGGAATCTGATGGTGTGTAAGAGTCGCCGAGTCTCTGTAAATGTATAGAGTAATCCAATTTACTTTCCCCATTTAGAAAAAAAAAAAGGAAAAAGGGGTGGGGGGGGGGTAATTTTAAGCAAACCACTTTTTTTTGTATTTGATAAAAGTCCCAATTAACAAATCAAGGAATTTCCTTTACACGACTATTACTTCGTATCTTTATGTGCTTAACCTCTCTCCACCCCCTACCAACCCTGACTCCCAGGTACGACACTGCCAACATTGATGACGCACTCAGTGACATCAGGAGGAGATTGCTATCTGACTCCACCCACAAAGCCCACGACTCGTTCGACCGCAGCACCCGGCGGTCCGCGTCCGACAGCACCGACACCTTCACGTACACAACCTGCGAGCGCTACAGCCGCCCGGCCAGGAAGGAGCTCCGCGACGCGCGGCGCTGGAGCCCTAAGTTTCCCGGAGACTCCGGCAAGCAGCGGGGCGCCACCGGCGACAAGTTCAAGCTCGACGACTACCTCATCAGCGACAACCCCGGCTACGGCGCTGCCACGTACACGCCGGACACGGATCCGTACGATTTGGAGGAGCGGCGCATCAAGTGCGTGAGGGAAGCCCTGTTGCAAGACATCGCTGAAGATGTGGAGGAGGGTGATACGAATACGGACAGTTCTGATGAGGATGATGATGATGATGATGATGATGACGACGACGAGTCATCGTTGCAGACCGCGGGGTCTTACCACACCAACACGTCCAGCGCCACGGGGGGTCTCTTCCCTGCTCTGAAAAGTAAGGAGTTGATGGACGGGCGTGGTTTGAAATATTCCCACTTGTTGTAAGCAAGTGACGCTCACAGGTTTCCCTGATTGGAGGTTTGCTTCTAAAGTCTTTACGCCATTTGTACGCAGTTATGAAAACAAAGGTTTTAGTCGTCCTAAAAATAGAAATAATTATATATATATAGTTTATTAATTCCTGAACTAACTTTTTTATTTAGAAAATTCTTGACGGTCTGTAACTTCTAAATTAAATATGTTCTTGGCTTGTGCAATGCTGGTTTTATTTTTATTTTTAAAGTATATAATCCTTAACGTAAATGAAAGATGTACGTTTTAAGGACCTTATAAATAGCACATCTGATAATTAATTTAATTAACATTAACATTGAAATTTTAGTATATTTAACTCTACTGGGTTTTTTTTATTTTGGAAAAGTAACTTTATCTAACCAGTTGTACAATTTGTTCTACATTGTTTTTAGAAAGGATTGCTTAAACTAAGTTCCTCTAAGTATCTTTATTTTATTATATATATATATATATATATATATAAATCATTAAAATTCCAGTATAATAATGTTTTTAAACAGTGGTTTGTGTTTAAATTTCAGTTATTACACGCTTTTTCCATAGGTTGCTCTGTCTGTACGTTTGTTTGTTTGTTTGTTTTGGAATCTTGAATTTAAATTTTGACCCACTTCCTGGCAAGCTATTTAACTGAAACTTTGTGCACCTACCCATCTCCTATGAAGATACAATCTTTCAGGATCATTAGGTCACCAGTAATCTCCACTGACACTTGGGTGTCCTTCGCGTGTCAAATCTTGCGTCTCGATTTTGACCTACTTCCTGATCTTCGATTGAGCTGAAAGTCGTACGCTTATCCATCCCCAAAGATCTTATTATCTTTCATGATGAGTAGGGCATCAATGACCTCCGCTGACCATTGAGTGACCTCTGTGTTTATCTCAGGAAAGGAAACTGATAGGAACATCGAGTGTTCACTACAGCGTTTCCTTGTGCACGGTTACTCGTTACCGATTCCATTTGATGATGGGAAACAAAATTTGTAAACACAGTCAGCTCACCTCTGACATTTCACGTGTTAGTATTTAATGGACACAAGACGTTTTGAGGAACATTTATTTTATACTTTTTAAAAAGTTTTGGAACAGTTAATCTTTATTTAAATATTTTTTTTTTTTTTATATTGTGTTATTCTTACATTGTTGGGAGGGGAGGGGGGGTAGATTTGTAAAAATGTGAAACATTATTGTTGAGAAGGTATGTTTGATTGGTTGGATGGTAAGTTTTGTTGATGACGTGAGATGATTATGTCTTTAAAGACACTTCCTGATATGAGTGTGTATTGATTTTAATCATTTTTGGAGAAAAAAAAATGAGGCGACAGGTCTAAAGATTTTGAATACTTTGTTTATATTATCCGAGACAAAAGGTGTTTGCTTGTCATAATAATCAAACACTGGATAATAGCTAGCAGTGATCACACAAATATAACACCAGTTGAGAATCAGACACATGTAAAAATATTCCTTTGGACACCCAGACCTAATCACATGAATCAATAAATGGTACATATTTCTTACCTATAAAATGCCTTTCCTTTATTTATGCTATAATATACATAATGTAATATAGTTTTATGTCTGTGTCTTATGCATCGTCCAGCGTGTTACAATCGGATGGAGCTGTATTTCTTACAACGCATAAGGGACTGTTAGAATTTCTCGTACATATGAATTTGGTTGTGTCTCTAATATTTGATTCAATAATTTTTTTTTAAAATGATTTTAGATAATTACAAACAGTATCGCAACTTTGTAGAAGCCTAACATACTTTAATAATCCTAATTCATATTTGTTTTAAGCGTAGAATTAATGTTAGCTTGCCTTCGTATATTAATTAGTAACCGCCATTTAAAATTGTAAATGAATTACCTGCCTTTTTATAACACCATTTTTTTTTCCAGAACTCATTCAAATGCAATCAATATGCAAAATTTCGAAGACAGTTTTTATTCATATTTGACATTAATCACGAAGATTATTTACTGCTTAACCTTCTTGGATTGTGTGGCTTTTCAGAAGTTTTCAATAAGACATGTTCAATGTTGTTTAAAAGGAAAATCCTAATGACCACATTCGAATTAATGAAATAAAAAAACTTTTGTAATAATAAAAAAGTTTGATTATCGCACCCTACATAAATCAGGTTATTAAACCAATTTTTTTTGTTGCATGCAAAGTATTTAAAGGCTCCAAAAAAGTTACAGTCAATTTATAATTATTGTTATATTCTTTTAACATGCGATTCTCAATCTTAATTTTCTTCGATAATGTTCATAATTTCCTTCTTCTTAAAGACAGTTTGACCTTTCAAGAAAAAAAATTAAAAGGTAAGATTAAAAATATTATTATTCCTTAATTAATTCATCTTTTTTTTCAAACGAGTACAATACATTCTTCCAGTAACATATTTTAGCGTCTGGCCGACTCTAACAAAATAAAACTTGAAATTTGTGTAACGAATTTTAATCTTCGAACTGCACAATATGGCTCGTATCGACAAGAAGATCATTTGTAAACAAGCCAGATAATTATCTTCGTAATCCTTTATTTTATGTTACTTTTTTACGTTTAAATTTTTTTTTATTCTTCTATCTACAGGTGGTTATATCCACTTTTGGCTTAACAAGAATATTATTAACTAGTTATCCATTGCTAGGGATGAGGGTGGGAAATGAAGCAACTAGAAACAAGAGGCCAACCTCTCAACTAACAGAAACATTTCTTTTATTCATTTAATAAGTAGTTAAATACCCATGTAACAAATCCGCAGTAAGAAAGTAGCTTTAAATCCATCTGTTTCGAAATTTAAAATATGACACAACCAGCTCTGTTGTAAACTTTCCCCGAGATCGCGTAGTAGACGATTAAAATAAAAATGACACATGATATTATTTGTTTTTCTGCATAATTTATCGTTTAGGGGCCATACTACGTTTGGCAACGGGACTGGTGTGAAATGTCTCATATAATTACGATAATTTTGGATGCATTCTTTCTTGACCGATATCTCTGTTTTCAACTTTCATTATTTTTTAATGACTTCCGCAGTCGGCACATAATTTATTGTGTATTTCAGTTTTTAAAGGTAGTATATACATGAGTAACTATTAAACTATTTTTAAGCAACAGGAACTTAACTATATAATGATGGTAGTATATACATGAGTAACTATTAAACTATTTTTAAGCAACAGGAACTTAACTATATAATGATGGTAGTATATACATGAGTAACTATTAAACTATTTTTAAGCAACAGGAACTTAACTATATTAATGACTAAGGTCATATACAGTTGAACTTCATTGGAACGTGTCAGTTCTCAAAAGTTTCAAACAAGAACATTTTTACTGTTATGAAAAAATGAAGTTATCCTTTGTTCTGAGTAAGCCTTAGTTACCATTTGTAGCTATTGAATGCTAATAAAACGAGAAATACATTGGATCACTTTCAATTCGTCTTACTGTGTGTGCACATATGGCGCTGTCTTCATTTGCCTGTTGCGTCTTCCGTTTTGGTTTTCTGTTCGGCTCGGTGGGTCCCGCCCTCCTGGCTCACTCCCTCTCCCCGTTCCTCCGTCTCTGTACCCCAATGCCTCCCTGGTATTCCTCCTTACCAACAATCCCTCTTCATTTGGTTTTCCTCGTTCCCTTAAATGTCAAAGCTTTATAAGTTCTCCTGAAAAAATAACGACCGTCAAACGGTGGGGACAGATGAAATCAAATGTATTGCATACGCCGCAGAGGTGCCTAGCTAGTAAATCATTGAAAAAAATTACATAAAAATTATCCACAATTTGGTAAACCAAGTTGCCTGCGCAGTATACTACTTAATTTAAATATGTGAATGGCTGGAGAAATAAGTCCCACGTATTCCTTAATCAAGTAAAATAAAAGTAAATGTTTTGAAGACGCATCAGTTGACGAATCCTTTGGCTGGCTCTACGATGTCTTATAAGGATGCCTAGTTGTGTCTGTATCATGTCTTATAAGGATTGCTAGTTGTGTCTGTATCATGTCTTATAAGGATGGCTAGTTGTGTCTGTATTCTGTATCATGTCTTATAAGGATGGCTAGTTGTGTCTGTATCATGTCTTATAATGATGGCTAGTTGTGTCTGTATCATGTCTTATAATGATGCCTAGTTGTGTCTGTATCATGTCTTATAATGATGGCTAGTCGTGTCTGTAGCTATCACATCAGTTGACGAATCCTTTGGCTTGCTCTACGATGACTTATAAGGATGGCTAGTGGTGTCTGTATCATGTCTTATAATGATGGCTTGTTGTGTCTGTATCATGTCTTATAATGATGCCTAGTTGTGTCTGTATCATGTCTTATAATGATGGCTAGTCGTGTCTGTATCTATCACATCAGTTGACGAATCCTTTGGCTTGCTCTACGATGACTTGTAAGGATGGCTAGTTGTGTCTGTATCATGTCTTATAATGATGGCTAGGTGTGTCTGTACCTCTGTCATTTTACTTACAGTCTGTCTATTGTTTGATTCTAATTTAGCTGTTCCTTTGTCTCGGGGGCTACACCCACCCGTGATCGCTCGCTCCCAGAGTTCCTCCGTCTCTGCCCTCCCCCCCCCCCCCCCCCCTTTGATTCTAATTTAGCTGTTCCTTTGTCTCGGGGGCTACACCCCCCCGTGATCGCTCCCCCCCAGAGTTCCCCCGTCTCCGCCCCCCCCCCCCCCCCCAGCGTTCCTGATGATTCCCACCATCCTGCTAACCCCTCTATCTCTTCTCATCGTCCCCCCCCCCAACTACCCTGAATCTACAACTTGACATGTTGTCCTGAGACAAGCATCACGACCCTCACACTAGTAATAAATCCTCGAGATCCAATATTCGTTTCAGAAAACCCCGCTCAGCCAGTTCAGTTCTTTATTACTCGAAATTTTAGAGCCTTACAGTAAAAATCAGTGAAGCAAAGTGATCGGAGAAAACGACACGGCTGATAGGTAGCTGGGCTTCGATCTGTTATTTATATTCACGTTTGCTCCTCTGGTAGTCTATGGAATAGGAGTAAATATTTATAGGCAACATGGCGAAAGATAGACAGTAACACTGGCTGTGTGTCTGGTGACATTTTCCCATAACAGTTTTGGGAGGATTTATTATGTTCAACATAATTTAACACGAGATTTAATTCATTATATTCAACGTACGATAATGTGTGCATTTATTTAAAGGTGGTAAAATATCTTTGTAAAAGAAAAACTGGTATGTGTTTGTCTAATTTCTCTTAACAGTGGTATTCTTTTTATTAAAGATAAAATATAATTATAAAGTCATTTAGCCTGTCCTTTATATGTTACACTTTAATATGATCAAAAAGGGTAATTTGTGTTAATATCAAAATTGTGTTTAAAGAACATTAGTTACATTATTAACTGATTTTAAGTCATGGATATTATCTTCGTTCAAATCTGATCACTAGATTTCAATTATTATTGCGTCTAAAAAGCTAAATAATTATGCATAATTATTTTTAAAAAAGGAATTTTAAAGGCCATTTGAAAAGAAAAAAACAACAAAAGAACAAATGATATTTGAATTGATCAAAGATGTTATGTTAAATTCCAAACCAAAATTGTCAACTTGCATACTTCTGACACTTCTCCTAACAACGCTCTATGTTGAAACCTGTAGAGTTTGGTTTCTTTGACGCCTTATTTCTCAAGTTAAAATCTCTTTCTCTCCCTCTGTCTCTCTCTCTCTTTCTATGAGCTCTCTTTTTGTCTCTGTTTCTATCGATGTCTCTCTCTTACTCTCTGGCTCTCTATCTGGCTCTCTCTCTGTCTCTCTCTCTGTATCTCTATGTCCCTCTCTCATTGTCTCTCTCTGTCTCTGTCCAACTATCTCTCTCTCTCTCTCTCTCTCTCTCTCTCTCTGTCTCAATCGCTCTATCTTTTTCTCTCTCTATCTTTTTCTCTCTCTATCTTTTTCTCTTTCTCTCTCTCTCTCTCTCTCTCTCTCTCTCTCTCTCTCTCTCTGTGTGTGTGTATGTCTCTGTCTTTTTATCTTTGCCATTTGTATATTTTCTCTCTCTCTCTCTCTCTCTCTCTCTCTCTCTCTCTCTCTCTCTCTCTCTCTCTCTCTCTCTCTCTCTCTCTCTCTCTTTCTCTCTCTCTCTCTTTCTCTCTCTCTCTCTTTCTCTCTCTCTCTCTCTCTCTCTCTCTCTCTCTCTCTCTCTCTCTCTGTGTGTGTGTATGTCGATGGCTGTTTATCATGGCCAGTTGTATATTTTAAATTCTGATTTCCCTTAACTTATTATCACTGAAAGTCCTTAACGTCTTCATTAAATCTAAATTCCCACTCCAAGAATGATCCCCACTCAATCCACTGTACAACACACACACACACTATTGTGTTCCCACCTCCCCGACTCCCGATCCTCATTTTTTTAAGCCACATACCAACGTCACCTCTGCCCCTCCCCCAACCCTATTTATATTTCACACACAACTCAGATAACCGTTCTTATCTTAAAACACCCCCTCCCCCCACCCCCACCCCTTTCCCCCTAGCCTTCAGTCCGTTAGCTCCCAGTATGTATTCATTGAGCCGAACTTTCTCTAAATTTAATATTGGCCACTTCTTTTTGAACGATCAATCGATAACCGAAAGCTGGTCGTATAGCGTCATGGAGTGGCACCCTATTACAATCGGTCTTTAAAGTCAAGCTTTCAATGCTGGCGTGTTGCACGCAAAAATTAATACACTTGGACACACATGCGCTACATTCTTCGTTCAAGAATGCTAGATTTCTTTTCATCTTCTTTTCGTTAACTTAATTTTTTTTTTTTCTTACCATCAGAGTGCATTTTATTTCTTTATTCCTGACTGTTGTGTATACGGCTTTAACAAACCATTATTACATCTTTTGTTAAAAGTTTTTTTTCTCATAAATAACAATTACCACGGATGAAGATGTATTAGTAATTATATTTTTTTATTTTTTAGTTAATTGTTTTAATTTATCCATTCAAACCAGATAAAATCGTCCATCGTTAGTCAATATTAAGCATGTGTTCAGGCTGTGTCATGAGTCATTTTCAGCCCATTTCGCGATATTCGGTTGGTAGATAATTTTTTTTTTTTTTTAACAATTAAAAAATGAAAAAAAAACAGAATTTAACCACATGCTATTGCACTGGTGCCCCAACCCTCCCTTTTTCTTTTTAAACCCTTAATTGTGAGACTCTTAGTGGCTTTTTGAAAAGCGAGTCACTGAAGCAAAGCCACACATTACTGCTTTGAGTTTATTTCTCATTTACTTTTCTTTCTATTCGGTTACTATAAGTTAAACTCTGGGCATCTACACTATGGGGGAGGGGGGTAGAGGAAACAGCTGCTTTCAATCCGAGTTTGGGGGGGGGGTGGGATTATAAAATCCCCCCGACCTCCAGGGCCTGCTTTTGTATTTCTCCGCGTAAAATAATTAACGTGGGAAATAACAACAAAAAAAAATGTAGATATCTTTACATTTGATTTTAAATGGAGTATATATCAACTGGTATTTCTTTAAAGAGAATAAGCTTGTTCTCAATTTTGTAGCCTTGCCGTGATTGTACTAGGAATGGAACTCCAATCCACAATATTGACATGTACATATTTGTTAGCGCAGAGCCATCCAGCAGCCCCATCAATGTTTGAATTTTAAGAATTAAAATTGAAAAAAAAAAAAAAATTATGGGCTTGCTAAATTTCATACTAAGGGCAATCTCTGGATTTGAAAATTGTATTTTACTGAAAAATGTTAAGAATTGTTGAGCTATCAGTGACATTGTAACCGCATTAACTTAGCATTGTTGTGTTACTGTCCGTTCTAATAAACTCTCCAATCAAGTATTTATTCACAGAATTAGCAAGGTTCGGTGAGGGGGCGGGGGGGGGGCCTCCAACCATTGAGACAGTGGGGGGGGGGATAGACGCTCCCGGATATTCATGATCTTTGAATATAGGCTAAAGACATTTGGTTGTCCCATTCTACATACACGTAAATGATATTTTGGATCTCCTAATTTTAAATACACGGAAATGATGTTTTGCTTGTCCTAATTCTAAATACACGTAAATGATGTTTTGCTTGTCCTAATTCTAAATACACGTAAATGATGTTTTGGTTCTCCTAATTCTAAATACACGGAAATGATGTTTTGGTTGTCCCATTCTAAATACACAGAAATGATGTTTTGCTAGTCCTAATTCTAAAACAAGGAAATGATGTTTTCGTAGCGCATCTCCAGATTCACGTTGTCGTCCTTTGGTAGTTATCCGTGGCTAGGCCTTCACGTGTGCGTCCATTCAGGCCCAAGAAGTTGTCTGCAGTTACCTACGATAAACTTGTCATGTAAGAAATCGAAACATAAAATACAAATGGCGGTTGAAACAAACATAGTATTGCTGTCATACGCACATCCTCCCTCACACGCACACACACACACACACTTAAAGACAATAGATTTAATTCTAAAATATGTTCTATACTTGTATTCATTAATAATTAATTTAGAAATTGTAAATTAATCATTTTTTTTATTTATTTTTTTTTAAATTTTATTTTTTAGGACAGGAAATAATTTATGAATGTGAAATATATTGTTGTAGTGAAATGAAACAATAATTTTAAAGTTCATGCAAGAGATTTTAACGACATCAGAATGGGTAACTCTAAAACTCAAGTTATCAATGTATTCAGCGGGTGACCTACATTCTTAAGTTACATAAACTTCATGAGGAGTAGAGTGGATTGATCCAAAGACAGAAATAAAAAGACTACAGCAGGCATTTACGTTCAAGCCTAAAACAAAAATAGAAGCATCGCCACCATGACGAGCCCCAGACTACCCTATCCCGAGGTCAAATCCAACAGACTTGGACTCCCTGACTCGTCCACACCAGCCATGAGCAGCAGTCGGATGGCAGACGGGTATGTTTTCAGTTAGTCTGGACATGTTCACAATGGCAATATTACCCAATTCCTTTAATAAATGCACGCTCCAAAGTGATATAATTAGGTCTCATATTCAGGATCAGGGGTCAACATTTATTAGGTCCCATATTCAGGATCAGGGGTCAAGATTTATTAGGTCCCATATTCAGGATCAGGGGTCAACATTTATTAGGTCCCATATTCAGGATCAGGGGTCAAGATTTATTAGGTCTCATGTTCAGGATCAGGGGTCAAGATTTATTTTTATTACGCAAATATTTTTATGATTAAAAAATGATTTAAAATAGATCCGTCTCCACTATGGGTGTATGTTAATTTATATAACTATCATTGGATGTATGTTTATTAATATGACTAACTGTGAGTCATGTTCATTTGTCTGACTTACTTCGACGTATGTATATTTATATTACTAGCTTTGTGTATATGTTTATTAATGTAACTAGCTTTGCATGGTTTCTGTGTATGTTTATTTGTCGGACCAATTTCGGTGAATATATTTTTTTTTGTATAACTAGTTTTTGTGTATGTATGTTTGTATAACTAACTATGGTTGCATGTTAATTTATCTTATTAAATGTGGGTACATTTTATGTATATTACTAACTATGGGTGTATTTTGACCTATATCACTAACTATGGGTGCATGTTAATTTATATTACTAAGTATGGTTGCATGTTTATGTACATGACTAACTATGGATATATGTTTATGTGTATGACTAACTCTGGGTGTATGTTGATCGATTGCAGCATTGAACACAAAACCTTAGAGTTTGACGTTGACATCCTCGATGCCGTGTTCAACAGACCTGGTCGATATTTTGTCAAAATGACAATTCAGAGCTCCGCAACAAAGGACTACACCAAGGTACTATACAGTTACCAAATAGCGTTAAATAGATGTCTAACACACTTCTTCCTTTTCAAATTCACACTAGATAGCCATGCAGGGAGGCGTAATGTCATCCTATACTTATTTGCAAGAATAAGATGACACTACAAATAAATGATTTGCAATTAATTAGCCATGCCGAGAAGTAATGTATCCGAGGGAGAAACATCTAAAGATGCTTCCTGCAATTTAGAGTACATTTAAAAAAAGACCAAATAGTCTGACAGTGAGTTAAGGTCAAATCCTTAGACTACTTTGGGGCTTATTTCTACCGAACTCTAGGTGAACAATTCCAGATTCCTAATTGCATAAAATCATAGTGTTGTCATCGCACATCTCTGACTTCTATCTCTTCGTTAGTTTCTCTACACGATAAATGCTCTGTACGTTTTTCCCTACCGTGTATATGTCTGAGTGGATGTCACACAGTAACACAGCCGGGTGTTCAAGTCCCAGCAGAATATGTCTTAAATCCATCAGTGTATACAGGTTCCGAGCTGCCTTGTTGTATTCTCAAAGAAGAACTATGGCGCGGGTGGTTTAATCATTCTTAAAAAGATGGAGAAATTTTGACGCTCTGAGAAAAACGACTGTTGCCATCTCTTTGTTTTTGAAAATGAAAACTAAGCACGAGAGTGGGCCTAGTGTTTGTTTACGGTACAAGCAATTGTTAAATAGAACCCATGGTTGGTGGGTTTGAGCCCATGGTGGGTGGGGTTGAACCCATGGTGGGTGGGGTTGAGCCCATGGTAGGTTCGGTTGAGCCCATGGTTGGTTGGGTTGAGCCCATGGTAGGTGGGGTTGAGCCCATGGTTGGTTGGGTTAAGCCCATGGTTGGTTGGGTTGAGCCCATGATTGGTTGGGTTGAGCCCATGGTTGGTTGGGTTGTGCCCATGGTCGGTGGGGTTGAGCCCATGGTTGGTTGGGTTGAGCCCATGGTGGGTGGGGTTGAGCCCATGCTTGGTGGGGTTGAGCCCATGGTTGGTTGGGTTGTGCCCATGGTTGGTGGGGTTGAGCCCATGATTGGTTGGATTGAGCCCATGGTGGGTGGGGTTGATCCCATGGTTGGTGGGGTTGAGCCTATGGTGGGTTTGGGTTGAGCCCATGGTTGGTGGGGTTGAGCCCATGATTTCTGAGGTTGAGCTCATGGTTGGTAGGGTTGAGCCCATGGTTGGTGGGGTTGAGCCCATGGTTGGTGGGGTTGAGCCTATGATGGGTGAGGTTGAGCCCATGGTTTTGGGGTTGAGCCCATGATTGGTTGGGTTGAGCTCATGCTGGGTGGGGTTTTTCTCGCTTTTAAAAATTGTTTGTTTTTCGTTTTTTTGTTTTTTAAATATGTTTTATTCTTCTAGAGTGGGAGATAACAATTTTTATACAAACGGCTCATTTCATTGAAGGGGTTTCTATTGAATGTCTCCATTGTTATTATCATGAAAGATTCTACTCAAAAAATGGCCGGATGAAACGTTGAGCAAAGACTACGAGGCTGTGACGAGTGTCGTCAATCAGAAGGGACAGGAAAACGAGCCAGAAATTTCCATGTTTGACGACAAGAAGTTTACGTTTAGACTTCCAGCAGGTGCTGTAGTTACACATTTATGTCATAGATATTTAAACTTTATGTATGCCCATTATTAATCCTGTGTACTTTAGAAAACACTAACACACAAGGAACTTATTGATTATAGAGACATATGTAAATTATTATTAGGCAGAACTGTTAAATGCTGAGTTTTTTTAAACGAAAATGTTGCCCAAATTACGTTGTCCTTATGCATACATGAACAGTTTTATCAAAATCTAAAACACATCCTAACTAATCAACTGAATTACATTCCAGGATTTTGCAAGAACGACAGAAACCACGATGTGTACCTGTTGTTCGAGGCGTTTAACCTGCCCACCAACAGTCACGATATGGGCAAGAAGGTGGGAGAGGGCAAGGTCGCCATCTACCCGCGAACCAACGCGCCCAGGACGAACCATTCCGTGAACCCCGGAGAGGACATGTATAGGTGAAAATCGTTTTGGTCTTGAAAGTCATATGCCAGTCCTTTTCCGACGTCATAAATAGATTTTAAAATCTTATATATTTTTTTTTACAAATATTTGACACTTCGGTTGTTTATAGCCTGATATTTTAAAACCTCAAGTAACCTTAAAACAATACATCAATAATATCAAATTTTCAACAAACTTATAAATGTATTTCTTTCAAATCACAGTAAAAGGTCGATGCAGTCTTTATGTATTGTACATTATAAAATACTACAAAGATTGTGTTTCTCTGAATTTGATGTTTTGCTATTTGAGTCCATCATTAATTGATATTTTTTATATTATTTGAAGTCATCTCTCGAGTTATCTTCTGAGCAGTTTCTATGTTACCTTGGTTTGCATGAAGAAACTAAAACTCCCCAGCTGAATCATAAGACATGTCATCATTTTATTCCTCTAGACACACACAAGTAGTCTCTCTGCTGCGAACATCGTCAAAGCAAGGGAAGGCAGAGATGCACTGCGGGAGAATGAGGTGCAGCTTCGCACTGAAAGAGTACGACAGTGAGGCGGAAAGAAAGAAGAAGAGAGAAGAAGAGCAGCGTAAGCGAGATGAGGAGGAGGCTTCTCGGAGAGAGGATGAGGAGAGGCGAAGACAAGAGGAAGAGAGAAGGAGAAAGAAAGAAGAGGAGGAGAGAAAATTAAGAGAGGAGGAGGAGAGAAAGCGCCGAGAGAAAGAAAAGCAAAAAGAACCCGAGCCTAAAATGGACGAATTAGTAAATCCGTTCCAGGTAAATGTCAAGGTCACTTAAGTTTAACTTCAAACCCGTTCCAGGTAAATGTCCAGTCTACTTTTAGTTTAGCTTGAAATCAATTCAGTTTAGCTTGTCTTGAATTACCTTTAAAATTGGTTATTTTTTTTTTTTTTAAATTTTCCCATGAGTTGCCTTGTCATGTTCCTCGTCTGTTTGAAGGGTTTACTCTTTACGTTGCCAGGCATTAAATAATGCAATAAATGTATCCGCAAGAGCTACTGGAAATTCCTTTGCTCCGCTTGAACTACACATTTAATCTTTAGGTTTAAATCAGCATTTTTGGCAGGTCACGTGATGCCCATGCTTTGCCAACGTAAACCCAATACAGCACCGTGGAGACCAATCAAAATTTGAATAGTGAACATTAGTACAAGCTTTGGCTAATGGCCCCGACTGAAGTTTCTTACTTCATAAACAGGCCACACACAAAAATGCGCCTTCACCTTGTGTTAAATGGCAAGCTTTAAAGATCTAGATGTTATGAATTTGGTGTTGGGGTTCACAACGATCCCGCTCCGAGGCCCTGGCCAAGTCTTAAAACAGTTGTGTCAAACAGCAGTGAACTATAGCCTCGAGTGTTAACAGAATAATGCCCTGGTGGGTAATTTTGTTCTACGGGCGGCCTTTCAATTACCTTCAAAACTTATCTCCTAGATACCATAGAAAATATAATAATAATAAATCGACGCGTAAAAGCCATGTGTCGGTCTGATAGTCCTACAACAACAATAAAAAAAAAAACAATTAATGAATAACCGAATATTTTATTTTTTTTTTAAATTATGTCCTTTTTAAAAACCGAAATAATTTTTCTTTCTAAATTTTCTTCATTTATTTTGCTTTAATTGACTTTTAAAGCGGAAATAATCAAATTATTATTATTCTTTGTTATTAAAGAGGCAGTAATTTAAAATTGTATACACTGGTATCTATTTTTATAGATTTTATTTTACAAAAAAAAAAAAAAGAAACACAGTTTCAAACGAATTTATATTTTACTGAATCATCTTCTTTGTTTGATGTCTGTGCTCGCTATGAGGGATCATCCGTAGAGAAAAAATGGCAATATTAACTGTTCTAAGTTAAAGGCACGGTTCATGTATTGAGTATATTTATTTTTAGACGCGTCCTAAGGTTCCGAGAACCCCTGGCCCACACGATAAACGACCCCAGAAGCCTACAGCTCCAGTCAGGGCGCACTCACCTATCAGCGAATGGGGAGACGTGAATCTTCCCGTCAGCCCATCTCCTTCACCACCCCCTGCGGATCTGAGAAAAGTAAGTTTATACAACACAGGGAATGCGTCTAAGAAAGGTAAGTTTATACAACATGAGGAAGTGTAGCTAGTCCTCGTTCACTTCTTTAAAACTTTACAATGTAAATTATATACTTTTAAACACTTAGACTAAGTACTTATAAGAAAAAGAAAAGGAAGATCTTACATGTCACCAAAGGGTTTAGGATTTTCCTTATAAAAATTATAATTGTAAATAATTGTGTCTATGTCTTATTAGATTAGTTATCTTTAAATGTAGTCAAATATTTGCTGTGACGTCACTAAAGGGGTGTGAACGGTGTAGACCAAAATGGCGGTCTATTTTAAATTTATTATAACATTTATTGGGCTCTTGAACACTGTCGGCATTGCGTGGGACCAAACCTAGTGAATTCACCAACTGTGTAGCATTGGGTGAGACCAAACCTAGTGAATTCACCACCTGTGTAGCATGGGGGGAGACCACGCCCAGTGAAGCCACCAGCTGTGTAGCAAAGAGCAGTGATTGCATATCACTTTGTCCTTAGTTTTCACGCAGACAATAAATTCACGTCTGAGAAACTACGGTTGCATTTCACTTTGCCCTTTGTTGTTCACGCAGACAATAGATTCACCTCTGAGAGACTACGACAAAACAACGTACAGCGCCAATCAAACATGGCGGCATACGTCACGGCCTGGCCACGAGCAAGTCGACGTCATAGTCCACGGAGCGAGCAACCTGCCGTCAGCGCCAGGAGGGAAGACACCCCAGCCATTTGCTACTGTGTAAGTTCTCAATGTTTACTTGTGTATAAAATGGCCGTTCAGGGCTAAAATTAACTTAGCGACACTCGTGACGCTCCATTAAATCTCTGTTTTGATTGGACGGCAAGAAACAGTTTCATCCTCCATTTATTTGAACATCATTTTTATTGTTGCTAAACAAACTGGAAACACAATTTATCTATGACTTTTCAAGAATGCTATATTTTCGTAAAAAAAAAAAAGAATTTGATTTACAAAACGTTAAAATTCCTGGTTAAAAAAAAATAGTATACTAAATTGTAATATTTCAGTTTAAGCCGTTCCAATAGATGTCTACTGGAACTTAACAACGTTTCTAGCATGTGTCTAACAAGTAAGGTTGCATGTGTCTTAGGAAAACTCGCAAAGATGTGGAGACGAATCACAAGGCAAGGTCAAGGACACACGCCGTGGTACGTCCGACGAATACGCCCTCTTGGGAAGAGTTGGTCACCATGGAGGTCACGGACAAGGAAGCCGAAAGGGAAGGTGCGACTTCTAGAAATTAGCCAGTTTTGAAACTTAGCACTTGTGCCAAATAACCATTGACAATAGGGGCAGTATTGCCTTATGATCATTTTTTGTTTGTTTCCGTGCGATATAGTTGGGTTAATGTATGCCCTATCGGGCACCAGTACACCATACGTCATTTGCTGTTATAGTATAATAAAATATTAACTCAATCTTGTCATCTGCTTAACAACAAATTTTCTTCTCAATCGCACATTCTTTTCATGCCCCCACGTCGCATGACCAGTCACTCCAGTTATCAAACCAAATTCCACACATTTAAGTTTAGACATTCATAAAAACATCTCATGACGACGTCCCGTCAGACAACATGACACCAGCACACAGGACGGTAAGGTCGCTAAGTTCAAATATATTCACACGACAACAATGCTTTCATTCAAACTGTCACTCTCACTGCCACAAACTGTCACTCTCACTGCCACAAACTGTCACTCTCACTGCCACATACACTACTGCTTTCGATTTATTTCTCTGCAACGTCTCATTACCATTATCCCATCTTGAGAGGAGAATCGGTCTATCAATATTTCCTTTTGTTTCTCAATATCAAGAAGTACATGGTTATAGATTGCTTCAAATGTAACTCTCTTCCAGCCATGATTCTGTCCGCCAATGACGCCATATCCAGATTAGAACTGGTCAAGTACTCCATCCCCATATCTCATCTACAACCTTTTCACCAGTACCACGTAGAGATTGTCTTGGTGAGTTGCACATTAAAAAAAATGTTAAGCTCGAATCGGAGTCACCGAAGCCTAAAATAAATTAATAGGAACATAAGTCACGTGACACATCTTTTATGTTGTTTTTCTCGTCATTTCATAAATGTACTAATGTACTAAGATTTTTTTAAAGGAATTCTGTAATGAAAGAAGACACTTACTATTAATACGACAATGTTTTGGCGTCTGCCTATACTCATTTGTCTCCTGTCCAACCTTGCGCTGTCATTATAAAGTTAATATTTCAAGTAAACAATTTATTAAGTAATCACTGTTTGCCACTTCAATGTACTACAGCCCGCCAGGTCAGGCCAGGAAGGGGTTAAGATGTACGCGTCGATCATGAGAAAAGTAAGCTCACTGCCAAAAGACCCGTCTTCTCCGAACTACCTGGCGCTTGAGGTAAGCAGTCTGATTAGCAGCTTCATTTGGGGTATTTACCTGCTCACATGATCACCAACAGCTTAAAGTCAAATATAATCAACCGTTTCAATGAAACAGAAATCCGCTAACGTAATCACCAATTGAAGACGTACAATCGTAAACTAGGCACATCATCTTCAACTGTTGTCACGTGACATTTAAGCCATTTCATTGTTGCTCTTGACCAGGTATTTTTACGAGGTGTCAAGCTCCCCCTACAGAACCCTGTTGGTCCACTGATAGCAGTGGCCCGTATCGTCCCCGACTACTACAATTACAAGTTGGTTGTGTTTTTACTTCCATAACAAGATAATATGTCATTAATTAATATTACCCAATGATCCCAAGTGTCATAACTCGTATGTATTGAATAAAGTAACACAATGCCATATGAAGCTAAACAATCTTTTAAAATTATATGTTCAACTTTTTTGTGAATACATTATAATTATTTTTTTTTTTACATCTTGAAATGTTTTTCGTTCAAATTATTTGTTAATGTATTTATTAACTGTCTATCCCCTTGACTAGGAGTGACAACCTCTTGACTCAGCCCAGGGCAGCTGGGGTGACCATGTCCAGCATAACTTTTCCCAACCCTCACCCTAGTGCCTTCACAGTCGTAGCTCGGTCTTCCCACGGTTATCCACAGGTGAGTCATTTGAATATTATTGTACAATATGTTTCAGTATTTTATAATAGTGTGTCCGGTTTTGAATAATTTTAAAAAATAAAATAAGGAAACAAAAACTCTAAAAATAAATTGCCGTTCTTGAAAAACACATCTATTCAAGGAAATAGTGGAAGAAGAAATGTCTGGGTTTGAAACGGAAGTATGCCTCAGTCATCAGACAATCACACAAAATAATAAACAACAAATAATTAGAAATCAAAACTATTTTAACAAACGTATGTGTCGTTCGACGTAATAAAAAATGATATTATAAATAGAAATAAATGTTATGTCCACATTCGTATATTCACTTAATATGGTAATAAACATGGATAGTTTGTGAATCACATAACTGAACTGAGGAGTTAGTGACACAAAAATTGATAATTATTTCATGGATATTACTTTAATAAGTTAAAGTTCATTTTAACAAATTTTTGCAACAAAAATAAGCAGTGATTTCTTTGACAGCTAAGCCTTTTAGGACGCCCAGAGGAACAGCCCAAGTGGAACCATCCGTACCTGTTTTGTGATGAGAAAGACAAGGCCACCATGTTCACGCCAACAGCTGCCTTAGTTATAGAATACTACGTGGCCAATACGGGTAAGGCCTGAAATATGCTCTGTTTATAGAGTAAACCCATCCAAACATAGAACAATGATATTGGGGGATTAATAATAGATGAAGTATGTGTATGTCGGTGCTTATGTCTAGTTTCAGGTGACGGACTATACGACACGGCCATTCCTTTGATAAAGTAAAACGTAATGACCTACGTGGGATGCAGGTCGTTACGTTTCTAAAAGCGATGTGTCTACCTTGAGACATCAAATAAATCATGTGTAACTCTCCATTTCAACACAAAGATGAGCTTTTATCCATGTCCTCCATCGTTCCATTTAAGCAACAATAATTGAGGTCTATTATTTCAATTATTTCATGCCACATAGCTGTATATCAGATCCCTGTGGTGCCACATGGATGATGCATATAAGATCCTGTGGTGCAACATGGTTGATGTATATCAGACCCCTGTAGCGCCACATGGATGATGAATATCAGATCCCTGAAACACCACATGGATGATGTATATCAGACCCCTGTAGAGCCACATGGATGATGTATATCAGACCCCTGTAGAGCCACATGGATAAGATCACACATACGCTTAGTCTTTCGTTCAAAAGTGCTTTATAAAATATTATTGAAGTTTAACTAACAATTTGGATTCCTAAATGCTGCACAATTCTCTTGATATTTCATTACTGCTAAAGAGTTGTTTAGTAGTTTAACAGGGGCAATAACTAATTATCTTCTAGCTATGACTGATGAGTTCTGGAAGATTCGAAGTCCCGTGGGATTCTCATCACTTTTGTTGGATCAAAAGGTCTACCAGCAGCTGAGTCAGGAGAAAGCGAAGATGGGGATGAGGGTGGAAGGGGTGCCCATCATGGTGAGTACACTTTTGGAATAATTAGTAATGATGATTGTTGAATGTTATAACAGTAAGTTATAACTTAGTTTCTTTTTTTTAAATTGAGCGAGTTCCAAAATTGGTGAGTAGAATGTAGCGATAATGTTTGCATTGATGATTAGATCAATTAAGTTAATACAATTTATTCACCAATTGCGTGACTGTTTTGAATTGATTAACTCTGTCTTATGTGCAGGGTTCAGAACTCCGCATGACAGATGGGAGAGCACCACTGGTCGGAATGGTGTTGAAACTCATTACAACATATGTAAGTTGTCGGACTTTGGAAAATTAGGCCCACCTCTAATGCTACATAATAAAATAGGATTTGTGTTAGTTAACGCTAGTTGTATGTTGAAAACAAACTCAATTGACATTAAAAAAATATAGTTAACAAAATGTTCATTCCAATGTTTAAAAAGAAACAATTTATAATACCTAAAATGTCATCTTTTCCACAGCAACCAGACTCAATGGTGACGATGAGTAACTTAGAGAACCTGCCGGCCATGGAACTTCGAGAAGGGGCGGGCACTGCCCCACACACAGCTGACGTGCTACAGGTCCGCACACCATCACCAGAGCCTCAACGGAAGGAAGAGCCTCAGGAGGAGGAGGAGGAGGAGATTATTGCCCCTGGAATGTATCTTCAGAGAGTGGACAAGGATCGTGTGGTGAGTTGTGTATAGATCAAATTAGGACATACCTCACAAATATACAGTTAATATTAAAATTTCTTTTTTAAATATCGCTTTCGGACATAATCTCCGTGTATCACTATAAATACAGGCTGAAAAGGTAGGCTCGAGTTGAAGAAGCTTAACAATAAGCTGAAACTGATAAGACTTGAAGTATAGCTTGTAACATCCAGACAGGTGCTACTATGAATGGAACATCTTCTCCACCTTGATCTCAAGCCCACCAGAGTTATCCGGCTCGATGATCTCAGCTTCACATCCCTCAGCTTAAATCTTCCCAATTACACCATATTTCCTAACCTAGATATGCCCAAATCAAAAGTTCCCAGATGTTCCTGAAAAAATCCCCACCTTTTAAAGGTGGGGATTTTTTCAGGAACATCTGGGAACTTTTGATTTGGGCATATCTAGGTTAGGAAATATGGTGTAATTGGGAAGATTTAAGCTGAGGGATGTGAAGCTGAGATCATCGAGCCGGATAACTCTGGTGGGCTTGAGATCATTGGGTCTGGCAACTCTGGTAGGCTTGAGATCATCGGGTCTGTTAACTCTAGTGGGCTTGAGATCATTGAACCTGGCAACTATGGGGGGCTTGAGATCATCGAGCCCGGAAACTCTGGTGGTGGAGTTGAGAAAGTCTGGTCTGGTAACTCTGGTGGAGTTGAGATCATCGGGCCTGGTGACTCTGGTGGGCTTTTGATAATCAAGCTTGGTAACCATGTTCGGCTTGAGATCATCGAGCCTGGTAACTCTGGTGGGCTCGAGATCATCGGACCTAGGGGTGTTCCATTAATTTGAAATGCATTGATGCCATAAAAATTGTCTTTCGCTTATAAAACAGTAGTTAATTTTAACTAAAATATTATCATTTCAAAACATTAAATTTAAAATTTACAAGTTCTGCATGACAGCAATTTTTGTTCTAAATGTAAACTTAAATTCGTTTAATCATCTAGTTAGAACTGAATATAATAATTAAAGTGAATACCTGCAAAGGAAAAGGCCATGCCCATTATTATAATTACAGCAATTGTCACGTCTGGAGATGAAATGTTCAAATAAACACACTGAGCAATGCAACTTTAGCTTTGAAAACAATATATACAAAGTTTATTTTGAACGCGATTAAGTTGTTTTCTTCTTTCTACGGTTTAAATGGTTTAATTAAAAAGTATGTGTTATGAAAACACTGAAATACGGGTTTTCTCTAGGTTTCCCAAATCATAAGGATAAGTTAAGCCAGGGGTGGGCTACATTGACAATTTTAAAGCTGTTAGGGGCCGCATGTATATTATGTAAAATTTGTACATGCTGATCAACATTTCTCTATATTAAAATCGGTAAATTCGCATTTTAGCATTACATGACAAAAGTAAATGACTGTTTAATAAAAAAAGTTAAAAATTAGAAAGAAATTTGATTAAAAATGTTAAAACAATAAAAACGGTACATGCAATGCTGTAAAATTAAACAAAAATAATTAAAAACAAATGATTCTAAATGCCTTCAAGTGCCGCATAATATCAGTTGCCGAGCCGCATGGGGTCCGCGTTTGCCTACCCTTGTGTTAAGCCAAAACCCCATTTTCTAGGATGGCTTTTTGAATTCAATTTAAAATGATATGATGCAAATGTAATCAAAACATAGTATTTGTCACTTCAGTGTAAGAGTAAGACACACCTACAGTGTAAGACACACCTGCAGAGTAAGACACACCTGCAGAGTAAGACACACCTACAGTGTAAGACACACCTACAAAGTAAGACACAAATACAGTGTAAGAAACACCTACAGTGTAAGACACGCCTGCAAAGTAAGACACACATCTAGAGTAAGACACACCTACAGTGTAACACACCTACATTGTAAGTCACACCTCCAGAGTAAGACACACCTACAGTGTAAGACACACCTACAGAGTAAGACACACCTCCAGAGTAAGACACACCTACAGTGTAAGACACACCTACAGTGTAAGACACACCTACAGGGAGTTTTTTTTTTCCGTTACACTTCAATCGCTCAAAAGCTAATGTTAAATCAAAATCGACGAACAAAAACAATAATAATACATTGAGAAAAACAGTTACTACTTCTATCCATTTATAGCAGCAACCTCATCACTGATTAAAAGTCGTTTGATACAATATTGACTCATACTTAAAATCTTGTGAAATCATATAACTGTCCTTCCTACAACAGGATTGGTTGTTTATTCACATACCATGAAACGGACAAAGAAATCGTTAATCGTATCAATCTTAAAAGCCTTTATGCAAACTCTATAAATAAACGGTTCCTCGCTACGTTCAGTCCTGCAGTTGGTAGTGTTGGTTGAAATACATTTTGACTTGTATTCATTGCTGACATGCTCGGCGGCTATACGGGCGCCGTCCTTTTAACCCACCCGGAACTGCCGAGCTATTTTTATAAGTTTTTTTTTTTTTCATTAGTTTTTTTTTTTTTTTTTTTTTTTTTTTTTTTTTTTTTGAAGATTTTAAAAAAAAAAAAAATTTTTTTTTTTTTTTTTTTTTTTTTTTTTTGTTTTTTTTTTTTTTTTTTTTTTTTTTTACTTTACTTTTTGTGAAAGAGTTAAAACAAGAAACAAATAGATCATTGCTCCATAACTTGTAGATGGTTGCACCAACTTATGGACGTCTTCAAACATCCTCCACTGCCTGTGTCAACATGATCCTCTCTGTATAAAAACATCAGCGAACGATATAAGTAAACAACAACCACTCTTTTTCTTCTCAATTTACCGAGACCACAGCCTCAGCTAGATCTCCACAGCCTCAGCTAGACATCCACAGCCTCAGCTAGACCCCCATAGCCTGAGCTAGAACTCCATATTCTTAGCTAGACCTTCAAAGCTTCAGCTAAACCTCCATAGCCCCATTTAGACCTCCACAGTCTCAGCTAGACCTCCACAATCTCAGCTAGACCTCCACAGTCTCAGCTAGACCTCCACAATCTCAGCTAGACCTCTACATTCTCAGCTAGACCTCCACAGTCTCAGCTAGACCTCCGCAATCTCAGCTAGACCTCCACAGTCTCAGCTAGACCTCCACAGTCTCAGCTAGACCTCCACAGCCTCAGCTAGACGTTCACAGTCTCAGCTAGACCTCCACAGCCTCAGCTAGACCTCCACAGCCTCAGCTAGACCTCCACAGCCTCAGCTAGACCTCCACAGCCTCAGCTAGACCTCCACAGTCTCAGCTAGACCTCCACAGTCTCAGCTAGACCTCCACAGTCTCAGCTAGACCTCCACAGTCTCAGCTAGACCTCCACAGTCTCAGCTAGACCTCCACAGTCTCAGCTAGACCTCGACAGCCTCAGCTAGACCTCGACAGCCTCAGCTAGACCTCCACAGCCTCATCTAGACCTCCACAGCCTCAGCTAGTCCTTCACAGTCTCAGCTAGACCTCCACAGCCTCAGCTAGACCTTCACAGCCTCAGCTAGACCTCCACAGCTTCACTACTAAGACCTTCACAGCCTCAACTCTGAGTGTCCAGTTCTTATTATCATAACGGAAGAGGTCAACACTGAAATACTTGCTTCTTTATTATACACATGGCCCTTGAGATCTGACACGTTGACCGAGGCTGTTTCAACTATTAACTGACTAAGGCTGTTCCTCTGTACACTGAATGATGCTGTTCCTACATACATTGACTGTGGCTGACTTTGCATGACTTATCTATGTTGGACTACAATCCTTCTTTACCCCCCAAACTTATCATCAATAAAAGGCATGTCTTTGTAATGAAACCAAACATACAAAGTTTAAACAAACTCTACACTTGTCTTAAACTCTTCAAATCTTATAAGGTACCTTTATATAAAAAAGGCCGCTATTGTACACGATATCGATTGAGAAGTGATCGTCTCTCTCCCCGTGTTCATAGCACGGAATCGTGTGTCAATCTCCCCCATTGAATGGCTTAAATTGGGCATTTGTATGCACGGCACACTTGACAGGCCCCGCGGAAATTTGCGTGCTAAACTCGGGGTTTTATTAGCACAGGGCCTTGACAGGGGACCCGCTGTTGCGTGGTTACGGCTGTCAACAATATGGCGGGTCATAAGGGGGGGGCGTAATCTGAGGCTGTGTTATCTAAGAGTGGAATAATTTAGTGTTTCAAGTTTATGTGAAGTTTTTAAATGGATATTTTCGTTTCAACAAATTTCTGGTCATAAGACTTTCTTTAGGATGTGAAGTCATGTTTAGGAATTTTTTTTAGTAATCTACATTAAGTAGGTGCATTTCTTTTAATACAAAATTTGTAAGCTGTTTTAAAGGCTTTACGCCTCAAGATTAAATAAAAGGAGGGGAAAAAAAAGTTTTCTTAAAGTTCAAGGAAGCCTGACCTAGATAAGGGAACACACATAGTTGTTGGATTCAAGTGAACTGACGGTTTATTGCGAATTTTACGCTGAGGTCAGGTGTACCGGTCGAACAGACATGGCGACAATGTATTATCGCCCCTACACATCAGAGGTGAGGATTTGAATACTCTGTAGTTGTTGTTAATGTGGGAAATGATTGCACTGTTATGGGAGAGAAAAAGAGGGAGAGAAGCAGAAGAGAAGGGGGGAGAGAAAGAGGGGGGAGAGAGAGCAGCTATTCTCAATTCCCTATTGGTTGGCTCAGTTAATTTTTTCCAAGTGGTATGCAGAAAAGCTAATAATATAATTTTTTTTTTAAATCTAATAATTGCACTTGTTACCAGTAAGACTTTGTACTAGTGCAATCTTTAAACTCAACTGTTATTGTCTTCTGATTTTCATTTTCTCTCGACCTTCTTCTTGTTCGCTTGCGAGAGATAATGACTTATAAATTTTAGCTGGCTTTAACAATGTGTCACAAAATCTGCCCATGATTTAACACAGTGGCGTAGCTAGGTCTGTTGTCACCCGTGCGGTACGCAACCACCCCCGCACCCCCCTCACCTACGCCACTGATGTAACAGACACAAGAGAAGTTTATCGACTTGTTGTAACATACAAAAACTCAAATAATTCAGCAATAAAGCAAATAGCTTTGTGTGATTCAGAATGTTTCAAACAGTTTTTTTTTTTTTTTTTTTTTTTTTTTTGTGTCTCTAATTTTTTTATTTCTTTTTTTTTTTTTTTTTTTTTTTTTTTTTGTTTTTTTTTTTTTTTTTTTTTTTTTTTACTTTACTTTTTGTGAAAGAGTTAAAACAAGAAACAAATAGATCATTGCTCCATAACTTGTAGATGGTTGTTGTTTCACACCGTTTTTTTTTTTTTTTTTTTTTTGTTAGTGGCTCATAATTCTGTACATCATTTATCTTTGAAACAATTGTTCAGTGATTGAGAAACACGTTCGAGGAATGGATCAGGAGAGATCTGGTTGTTGTTAATGTGTCGCAACACAGTTAAGAAATGTTGTTATTTATAAAGTTGTATGACGTCAATGTTTTGATATTTTCGGCTCGCCTTGATATAAAAGTACATGGTCATGAATAGATATCATAAGTTGTTTTGTTTTTTTTATTAATGTGTGAATATCCAAACAGTTTAGTTAACACTTTATTGTGTGAAGATTGTATTTGTCGACAAAGAAATGATTGACGGAGGTTCTTTCGAACGGAAGTTTGTTCGAATTTTTTATTTCAGTTCACACGATCAAATTTTCTTCAAATTTTCTTTTTGAACGCAATATACTTTATGGTAAACAAATTAATGCGTTCAAAAAGAAACTTGACGAAAATTTGATTGTTTGAACTGGAAAAAAAATTCGACCAAAGTTCCATTCGACCAAACGTCCGTCCGATAAAATTTCCGTTCGATCAAACTTCCGTCGATCAATTTTCCGTCGACGAAGTTCCTTTCAAACAAATTTCCGAATACGCGTGTTAACATCATGTCTTTACTGTGTGTAAGATAGTGTTAACATCATGTCTTTACTGTGTGTAAGATAGTGTTAACATCACGCGCTTTACTGTGTGTAAGATAGTGTTAACATCACGCGCTTTACTGTGTGTAAGATGGTGTTAACATCACGCGCTTTACTGTGTATAGTGTTAACATCATGAGCTTTACTGTGTGTAAGATAGTGTTAACATCATGTGCTTTATTGTGTGTAAGATGGTGTTAACATCACGCGCTTTACTGTGTGTAAGATGGTGTTAACATCACACGCTTTACTGTGTGTAAGATGGTGTTAACATCACGCGCTTTACTGTGTGTAAGATGGTGTTAACATCATGTGCTTTACTGTGTGTAAGATGGTGTTAACATCACGCGCTTTACTGTGTGTAAGATGGTGTTAACATCACGAGCTTTACTGTGTGTAAGATGGTGTTAACATCATGTGCTTTACTGTGTGTAAGATGGTGTTAACATCATGTGATTTACTGTGTGTAAGATGGTGTTAACATCACGTGCTTTACTGTGTGTAAGATGGTGTTAACATCACACGCTTTACTGTGTGTAAGATGGTGTTAAAATCACACGCTTTACTGTGTGTAAAATGGTGCTAACATCACGAGCTTTACTGTGTGTAAGATGGTGTTAACATCACACGCTTTAGTGTGTGTAAGATGGTGTTAAAATCACACGCTTTACTGTGTGTAAGATGGTGTTAACATCACGAGCTTTACTGTGTGTAAGATGGTGTTAACATCATGTGCTTTTCTGTGTGTAAGATGGTGTTAACATCACACGCTTTACTGTGTGTAAGATGGTGTTAACATCATGTGCCTTACTGTGTGTAAGATGGTGTTAACATCACGAGCTTTACTGTGTGTAAGATGGTGTTAACATCACCCGCTTTACTGTGTGTAAGATGGTGTTAACATCATGAGCTTTACTGTGTGTAAGATGGTGTTAACATCATGAGCTTTACTGTGTGTAAGATGGTGTTAACATCATGCGTCACGCGGATGTTGCTTTTGGATCCATCCATCTTATAAATATGATGTAACTAGAAACATATCGTCCTAAGACAAGTAAAATGAACAATCAATAACACCATAGACTTTAATGCTAAAGGGAACCGGAAACAGACAGGTAGTTTCAATTTTTATGTTTGAATTAAATTAAAGAAATATCTCTTTTGACTATACAAACCCTCCCATTATTGTATCATAACATCGAAACACAAACTCTTCCATTAGTGTATCATTATTTGCAACAGGAGTCATTAGTGGGAAAGTAAAAAATCCAAGAAGAATCTGAAATGGTGCACATTTTTTTCTTATCTGTTATTTACCCATACAATATTTCCTTTACCTGACTCAGTGATAGAAAATCAATAGAAACCATCAATTTGATGGCGGTCTAAGTGTGTTTATCGACACGGCAATCAGAGCGATAATTGTTTGGGATTGAGGAACACAGTCACAACCACTTGAAGTGGTTTGCGACGAAAAAGTACTTTATATTACGTTTGTAATGAGGCGGTTGGTGAATTAGCCAGTGAGTGAATACGTTAAGTTCATTTCTCGAAACTATACTGAATGATGTGTGAGTTTGTTAAGGATAGAAATAACTGCAAAAAAAAAAAAAAAAAAAGCATTTTGAAAAAGATAATAGTTTTTAAAAATAATTCCCAAAAAAAAAAAAAAAAAAAAAAAAAAAAAAAAAAAATTTAAAAAAAAAAAATAATTTTAAAAAGAAATTCACAAAAAAAAAAAAAAAAAAAAAACCTAAGGCTCATACTAATGTCGTCATCTTTATTTTGGCAAAGAAAATCCAAATATCCCCACTCCTAAGTGCTGTTGTGTATTTGAACTAAACACAATTGTGTGATTCTAGATCTTGAAGTTTCGCTTTGTTCCCCAGCCCATTAAAGATGGGGAGCTGCCTCCGTATAACGCAGTAGAGTCCATCTTGCCCGAGTACCAGTACATCTTCGTTGACCCCAACCCGAACACCGACAGGTCAAAGAGCAAGCCGCCGCCTCCTTCTAGGCACATCGGGCCCCCAGAGAGAGGGCCGTTCACCACTACCACCATGGCGACGAGGTAAGTTTTCACTTTCATTTTGAGATGAATCAACTGCAACGATAATAGTATCATTTCTTTACAAACGAAGGATAACACATAGGTGGACACACTCCATGGTGGAACACATAGAGATGGACACACTCCATGGTGGAACACTTACAGATGACACACTCCATGGTAGAATACTTATAGATGGACACACTCCATGGCGGAGTTTCATATTTTAATTTTGGTGAAATGTTTTTCAAAAGTTGTTTCCTGATATCAGAAAAAAGGAGAAGGCAAGTACCTAAGTGGATTTTTCCACTTAGTTATTTATTACAAGCAAATAGATCCATGACAAGAGAGGATCTTTTTAACAAAAGATTGATCACGGTTACATAAAAACTTTACATTTTTCAAAAGCGTTAATTTCAAAATAAAGTGCGTACTGCGTACATTGCTGTTTCATCAAAGCTTCCACAACACTCACAAAATCAGACATACAGATTTTTAAATAAAACAAGAATAGTCTACAACAAATTTGTTTAAGAAGAGGTTTATATAACACTAGCCAATGTACCCGGCTTTCCTGAAAGGTTGTATTCGGAAAAAAACTTCTAAAGCTTTGTCAGCATACATTTAAATTTAGAGCCCTGTCCAAACACTTCACAAAAGTAAAAGTCTTTTTATTTTTATTCTCCTATAAAATCCAGATTATCATAAATCTTGTAAGAATAATTGACTTTGGTGCCAATCCCGTATCAGTAGATAATCAATCAGAGCACAGGCAAGAACCATAATTTAAAGACAAATCTAACTTTAATAAAAAAAATAAATGTTTAATTTAAAAAAAAAAAAGAAAAAGATCTTCAGCAAAGCCAAATTTATATTTTATCAATTAAAATAAGACAGGATCCTTATTTCAAATGGGATCTTTTTTTTTTATTTAACCCTATTATATGGGCACTATAGAAATAATTCACATAAATATACAAGTTAGTTGTTGTTTTTTCATCACATTACAATCCTGATCATTTTTCCAAGATGTTGCCTTTTACTACTTGAGCCCTGGGCGCTTAAAGAACTTAATCTTTCATGATGTATGGTTGAGAGTATTTTAGGTTGGATAAAGAACAATCTTTGATGACATTTGGTTGAAAACGCCAAATCTGTAGCGTTTTATCTAAAATAATTTATGGAGCCAGCCGTGCACAAACTATATGGATATTAGTAGTTTGAAATCCCCCGATATTTTAAAGGGGATTAGGAAACGTATTTGCCAAGTTCGGTAAATATGTAAGAATATACGTAGATGCTTGTATTGTAATCTAAACCTCTTTGTATAGCTTTGGCTATTATAATGGAAATACATGGTAGAAATACTACACTCAGGATTTTTCAAGAAACTTCAAAAATATCTTTGAATCTAATTTACATTTTCGGAAAATCATAGAGACTTATGGAAAAATTAAAAAAAACATAAAAAGGACATTTACATAATCTTAAAACCATTTTTTTTGTGTGCAAAATTCGAACTTTCTATAGATGTAATAAGATAGAACTTACATAAAGTCTTCCATTCAAGTTAAAACAAGGGCCACGGTCGGGACCCAGTCTAAAAGGTGACGTATTAATTATCACTAAGATAGGGATTCTCAATAATTAATCAGCTAAACAGTCAAGTTAAATATGAAAATTTGACCTATTAAAATCGGATTAAAAAAGAAAGAGATTAAGCGGATATATAGAAAATGAAATTAGAGTCAAGTGCAACATGATGGGTTTCAAAGTTCACACATCATTGTTAAGTACAATATGATGGCTTTCAAAGTTAAAGATCATTGTTTCGTACAACATGATGGCTTTCAAAGTTCCTATATCAATGTTATGCCTGATTCATTTTGTCTTTCGGAAAAATATAATGCTTTGAATACCCGTTGAAATGTACACAAGGAAGCGAGTTCATTAACTACTAAGTCTCTGAAAACACAAAGCGCCTAATAAAACACAATATTCGGCGCGCAACAATAATTAGTAAATTCCCACGGTCGATTAGCCATGTCATTATTATTTCTGGAACATAATCGTTCACTGTGATGCATGCGCTTTCTCAGGGACACCAACGACTTGGATCAGACACATATGAATGTCTTAGATTATCAGATGAGAGACCTTGACAACTACAGAACCGCTGTACAGAGAATGGGACAAGACATCTTAACACTGCGAACACAGGTAAATAAGGATTGTGTGGAGTATGAAAACGATACTTCAAGATCAGTGGTTCTTAACTACGGCCTATTGGTCCCGAGGGAGAGCCCGGGCTTATTTCTTGTGGGGCCCTAAATCTTTAAATAAGATGAGCAGTGGGTTATAGCAGCAGGAGCCACTGAGGTAAACAAACAAAAAAAAATTAAGTGGACCACAAGTAAAAAATTGTTATAGAAATACTGAGCTGTATTAGCGAACTTTTATTGCCATTTAAACACTACATACTAATTGTAGGTCTATCAAAGTAATGCATGTGCTATTGTAACTTTACATATATTTATTTCATTGATTTAAAAAATTACTTTGAATATGTAATATTGAGGGAAAGGCTTTTTGTAAAATTGTTTAAAATATTAAACCAGATTGTGTATGATTTTAAGTTGGTCTTGTTTTCCAACAGATCCGACAGCTGGAAGGGGAGAACAGCAAACTCAGGATTGATGTCCACCATTATGACGACAACCGGAAATTGCTGATTGATGCGGCAGATCTAGATTCTCTGGCCAGGCCCGAGCTTCAGGCCAGATATGGTAGGGCTTTGAGATCACGGTTCTTAAACCAAGGCAGGGAGGGCATTGTCCAAATTGAACTAAGATAAGGACCTTGTCGTTGGAGATAAATGCATTAGACTACAAATCCTCAAATGTATTTTAGTTCATGATTTTAAACAGAAGATAATAATATGTCTCTGTCTCTATCTCTTTCTCTCTATCTAGGCTCTTTAGATCTTTTCAACCCCTACCACTCTCTCCCCTTCTCTCTCCGTTTATACTGTCTTTTCTACGTGTAGTCTTGATTCCTCTGCTTACACCTCACCCTCTCTCTCTCTCTCTCTCTCTCTCTCTCTCTCTCTCTCTCTCTCTCTCTCTGATTTTTATCTATTAAAATGACGAAACAATACAACTAAACCTTATTTTTCACGGGAAAGAAATTTAAAAAGTTTCACCGTCAAATTAACTTTATCTATTCAAGAAATCTAAGAATTAATTGATAGTGGCGTCTCTTTACAACAGCTTCATTGCGACAGAAACTGGCCGCCCAGACAACGGAGTTGAAAGATTACAAGACGAAAGTACAGAAGCTACAGAACGAACTCATAAAGGTAGACTACCCATAACATGTCATCAAAAGTTTACAATACGATTTTACTCCCTTTCACTTTTCTTTGTTTGTGCCTATAATTTAGTGACATATTACTTGATGCAATAATATGATTAAATACATTGAAAATAATTTAAGGTTTAAATCTATGAAATGAAAAGCCAGTAGAGCCAAAAGCCCAATGACGTCCCCCCTACTGGCCATGAAACAAGTTAATTTATTAAACGGCTCTGTTTCAAATGTACTACTTGTGTTACTGGGTGTTTTTAAAACTAATTTTTTTTTGCGTCTCCAGAAAAATGATAAAGAAAAAGACTATCTGAAGATGTCCCACGCCCACGCCTCACAACAAGAACTGCTGCAGAGATTACAGGACAAGGTGCAGAAAGTCAGGAAGCTGGAGGAGACCTGCAGGAAGCAAGAAAAAGTCATAGAGAAACTTGAGGGAGTCTTGTACAAAATGAAAGGGAAATCTAATAAAGGTGAGTGCCCTGCGACAGTGTGACGGTATGAGTTGCCTGCTAAATATTATTGTAGTGAGTAATCATAGAACTATGATACCTGATTGTCCTGTGTTGTTGTCATGGTGGTGTGACAGTACGAGTGGCCTGACTGTAACTGTATAAGTAGCCTCATTGTGGCAGCATGAGTGGCCTGACTGTGACAGTATGAGTTTCCTGACTGTGACCGTATGAGTGGCCTGACTGTGACAGTATGAGTGGCCTGACTGTGACAGTATGAATTTCCTGACTGTGGCAGTATGAGTGGCAAGCATGTGACTGTATGAGTGGCCTGACTGTGACAGTATGAGTGGCCTGCATGTGACTGTATGAGTGACCTGACTGTGAAAGTATGAGTGGCCTGACTGTGACAGTATGAGTGGCCTGCATGTGACAGTATTAGTGGCCTGCATGTGACAGTATGAGTGGCCTGACTGTGACAGTATGAGTGGCCTGTGTGTGACAATATGAGTGGCCTGCGTGTGACAGTATCATTGGCCTGCATGTGATTGTATGAGTGTCCTGACTGTGACAGTATGAGTGGCCTGACTGTGACAGTATGAGTAGTCTGACTGTGACAGTATGAGTGGCCTGACTGTGACAGTATGAGTGGCCTGACTGTGACAATATGAGTGGCCTGCATGTGACAGTATGAGTGGCTTGCATGTGACTGTATGAGTGGCTTGACTGTGACACTATGAGTGGCCTGACTGTGACGGTGTGGGTGGCCTGACTGTGTAGTGGCCTGTGTGTGACAGTATGAGTGGCCTGCGTGTGACAGTATGAGTGGCCTGCATGTGATTGTATGAGTGGCCTGACTGTGACAGTATGAGTGGCCTGACTGTGACAGTATGAGTGGTCTGACTGTGACAGTATGAGTGGCCTGACTGTGACAGTATGAGTGGCCTGACTGTGACAATATGAGTGGCCTGCATGTGACAGTATGATTGGCTTGCATGTGATTGTATGAGTGGCTTGACTGTGACACTATGAGTGGCCTGACTGTGACAGTATGGGTGGCCTGACTGTGACAGTATGAGTGGCCTGCATGTGACAGTATGAGTGGCCTGCATGTGACTGTATGAGTGGCCTTTCTGTGACTGTATGAGTGGCCTGTCTGTGACTATGAGTGGCCTCACTATTATTGCTGTAGTGTTTATTGATTGACCCTTGTAACCTGATTGTCCTGTGTTGTTGTCATGTTGTGTGACTGGACGTGGTAATTTGTTATTGGTTGGAGGAGTGGAGTGAGCAGTCATACGGTGTGGGGTAAATAAAAGGAAGAACGTGAATAAAGGTTAGTTTTTACACAAAACACAGACTTGTGTTGACATTTTACTATTTACATATTTGTTACACAGACCACACACTTGTGTTGATATTTTACTATTTACATATTTGTTACAGAGACCACAGACTTGTGTTGATATTTTACTATTTACATATTTGTTACACAGACCACAGACTTGTGTTGATATTTTACTATTTACATATTTGTTACACAGACCACAGACTTGTGTTGATATTTTACTATTTACATATTTGTTACACAGACCACAGACTTGTGTTGATATTCTATTATACTATTATGATTCGCGCAGTTTTTAGGTGGGTTTTTTTTAATGATCAAGGCAGATGAAAGTTACCAATGTTTTTTTCCATGAAAGTTTAGTGCAGCTCACTATTTATAGGTTCCATAATAAACTTTTTTTTTCTTTTTTTTAATTTCATAATTTATTTTATTTTTTTAGTGTTACCAGGCCTTCTTTATATTTACAAATATATATGACAGTATATACTCCACCAACTTGATTTTTTTTTTCCTTTTACCATCAGTCTGTAAAAACAGCAAGAATTTTAGAAATGTACAAATTTTAAACTTCTGGGATTTATGCCTGTTGTTTTTTATTCCTTTTAGATGGAGCCATGAATGACGTCAACAGTGCGTTAGCCGATGAGAACAAACGCTTGAGAGAACAGATTGAAGACATGAAGGTCAGTGTTGTAGAGTTCCAGCCAATGACACAATTATTAACATATTATTGCGTTATTGTTTTTCAATCTTTAATCAATGCTGTACTAAATGATGTAAAGGCGGGTAAATATCTGCACGAACAGAATGATGGAAATGTGCCGCTGTTGTTTGTTGTCACAGGATCAGATGACAAGGGCTGGGATGGGAGGTGGTGAAGACCTGGAGAAACTAGAACTCTACCAAGCACTGGAGAGAGCTGAGGGAAGGATTATGTCCCTTGAAAAACAGGTGCTTGTAACAGCTTTAATATTACATAGTTAATTTTTAAACATTGGAAATATTATTATTATCACAAATGACATAAATATTCCGTTAACTCGTATGTTTAAAGCTTAATGAAGATGTCCTTTGAGGGAATCGATATTGAAGAGTTTGATATCATGAGAAATATTTCCATTTCAGCTTCAAGAAAATGCTCGTAGCTGGGGTAAAGAGAAAGCTGATCTGAGCATTAGAATGAATGAAGCTGAGCATGGATTTGGTCGATCTGGTGGCATGGTTCTTCATGATTATCCTGTCTTGGTCAGTAGTCTATAAACTGTAGCCTTTAGTGAAGCAGTAAATTTGGTAATGCAAATATTTTACTAAGGAAAACTTAGGCATTTGAAGAAAATTTAAAAGTTAACTGTAAACTTTAAGTAATAAAATGTTCATCTTAAATGTTAATCTTAAATGTTAATCTTAAATGTAAATTTTAAATGTTAATCTTAAATATTAATTAATTTAAGATAGTTATTCATTGTCCTTTTTATTTGCTCTTTAAAATTATAATATGTAAACTTTCTGCTGTACAGGACTCTGCATATGGAAGATCTTTCACTGTTCCATCAAGACTTGGTCCATTGTTGAGATAATTATGATGAAAACTAAATAATCTTGGTGGATTTTAAGAGAGGATATTCTCATGCACTGCCGGGGACCGGTGTGTGTTTGAATCTTAATGGCTATAGCTTAAAACATAATGTCAACATAAATTAATTATTCGTCATTTTAGAGACAGGAAATCTTATTCAAGATTAAATTGAATTGAAAAGGTTTCAAAAATAAATTGTTGATCAAATAACATTAGAAATGCTGTAATGACTACTGTCCTGAATTTATTTTCTTCAAAAATTTCAAGTCCTGTAGAAATGTTTGAGCTACCTGTAGCAAAATTGAAACATATTTATGTCAATGTTCTTTAAATACTTCCTTGTAAAATTAAATACACATAAAAACTCATGTTATTTTTATCCTTTAAACATCATCATCAGTTTTGTCACAGCCCATGTAGGGCCCCTGCCTGCTCCACCCCTTTCTTCCATTCAGATTTATCCATGGCTTTCCGCCTCCATTTAAACACAACTATTAAACACCTTTTGGAATTAAATTATGTGTTTGGAATAACATTTTTGAAAACTCAGGATTTACCTGGAAAATTAATTTATTTTGACAAACTTAAGATTTATTGTTTACAGTTTATGCATTCTCATAACATGTATTAATTAATTTTGTAGTGGTAACTTATGTTTATGAATATTTAACTTGAATTGAACTTGGACTTGGTATAATAATATTGGTGAAGCCGTTCATTTTTATACCAGATCTAAGCTTGCATCTGTTACGATTCATGAACTAGAAATTCTACCAAAGTGTTGTAAAAACTTTTCTTCAATTTAAAAATGTGTAGTTTTACATTAACATCTCCAACTTTTAAAGTTGTATATACTGATACCTAATAATTAATGATTTTAAAAAGTGATTGTTGTTGTTGAGCCTTCTCGTCCATGAGGGGCATCCACCGATCATCGTCGGCGTCTGCGGTTCCTCCAAGGGCATAGGCCACCTACGAGAGACCTCCAGGCATCTCTATCCTGGGCCAGCTTCTCCAGGATCTTCCATTCATGGCCAATTTTCTTGATGTCTGTCTCCAATTCTCGGCGCCAAGTGTTTCTTGGACGGCCTCTTTTCCGCTTACCCTGTGGGTTCCATTTCAGGGCTTGCTTTGTTGTGTTAGAAGCAGGTTTTCTTAGTGTATGACCAATCCACCTCCACCGCTTCTGGAGAATCTCTTCCTCAATGGGTTTCTGTTTTGTCCGCTGCCACAGTTCCTGGTTGCTGATTTTGTCTGGCCAGTGAATTCTGAGAATCCTTCTTAGACAGTTGTTGATGAAGGACTGGATTCTGGTCAGGTTTACGGCCGTTGTTCTCCATGTCTCGGCTCCATATAGCAGCACAGGTTTTACCATAGCGTTAAAAATCCTTACTTTTAACTTGCTGCCTAAGTTGTTAGAGACCCAAACATTCTTGAGTTGTTGGAAGGCTGCTCTTGCTTTTCCTATCCTTATTTTGACGTCCGCATCTGTACCACCTTGTTTATCTACCATGCTGCCAAGGTAAACAAAACTGTCCACCTCCTCAAGGGCTTCTCCTTCAAGCATAATGGGTGATGTACTGGTGGCATTAACCTTGAGGATTTTACTCTTCCCTTTGTGAATGTTGAGACCCATGCTAGCAGAAGTGGCTGCGACAATGTTTGTTTTCTCCTGCATCTGTTGTTGGGTATGTGCAAGAAGTGCAAGATCATCAGCAAAGTCAAGATCATCCAGTTGATCCCACAGGGTCCATTGGATGCCATTTCTTTTCTGCTGTGTAGATGTTTTCATCACCCAGTCAATGGCTAACAGGAAGAGGAATGGTGACAGCAAGCAACCTTGTCTCACACCAGTCTTCACCTGGAAAGCATCTGTCAACTGCTGGCCATGGATAACTCGGCAGTTTATCCCTTCGTACATGTTTCTGATTATATCAGTAATCTTCTGTGGCACCCCGTAATGCCTTAGCAATCTCCACAGGGTTTGCCTGTCAACACTGTCGAAGGCTTTTTCATAGTCAACAAAGTTGACATAGAGCGGCGAGTTCCACTCTAGTGACTGCTCTAGAATGATGCGCAGTGTCGCTATCTGGTCCGTGCAGGATCTGTTGGTGCGAAAGCCGGCTTGTTCGTCCCGCAACAGAGGGTCTACAGCGTTTTTCATCCTGTTAAGTAGTACACGGTTGAAAACCTTTCCTGGGATGGACAGCAGGGTGATCCCTCTGTAGTTCGAGCAGGAGCTTAAGTCTCCCTTCTTTGGGATCTTGATAAGGTATCCCTCTTTCCAATCGGAAGGAACTTGCTCCTCTTCCCATATCTTCATAAACAGAGGGTGTAGCATTTCCACACTGGTTTCCAGGTCCGCCTTCAGTGCCTCTGCTGGGATGCCATCAGGTCCCGCAGCCTTTCCATTTCTGAGTTGTTTAATGGCCCTGCTAATCTCTTCTTTGGTGGGACTATTACAGTCAATTAGCAGGTCATTATCGGCTGGTTGGATATCTGGTGGATTTCTTGGTTCAGGCCTGTTCAGGAGCTCTTCAAAGTGTTCCTTCCATCTCCCTCTCTGTTGCTCCTCACTTGGTATGGTGTTTCCCATTTTGTCCTTCACTGGTCTCTCTACCTTGCTAAATTTCCCTGACAGCGTCTTAATGTGATTAAAACAGATTTATTGTAAAAGATAATATTAATTGTATTGTAAGGCATACAGTTAAAAAATGATTTAGAGTATCCCAAATGTGTAATGATGCTTGAATTCCTCTTTCATAATTTTGAGCCTACCAGTGAAATTTCGTACACATTTCCATTGTTGTAATATATATAAATGTGTCATACAAAGAGAATGTCAGATGTGTGGTTGAAGTATGTGTAACGTAAATTACATTCATACACATGATGGAGTACCCATTTCTTAAGTGTATATTATACCAGCCTCAAAATAAAAGAATAAATTATGCAGCTTTATAATATAATGTGGTCATGGAGAAATACTTATGTAATAGATGTAACATATTTCCTTTTTATTTTCATTTGTAAATAATTAAAAATAATTAGACCAGCTCATTTGAAATGTGTTAGCAATAACAGTGTTCTACAATTTCACTCAATATCTTTCCCACCCATCCAGGAATAGAATATATTTGTATAAATATTAAATAAAATTACAATCTATTAAATCAACGCTTGCCCTGTAAAGTTTATTTAAATTAAGGCTGCATCGTCTAGATTTAAAATTGTGCATGAAATCACATAGGCTGCAGGCCTAACAGTGTTGGCCCTCAGCATTGAGTGGCGTCGCACTTGCGACATTAATTCAAATTTGCACCAGTCATTTAAACCTAATTAAGCTTTAATCTGTTGAGTATATTAAAAGCGTTGATAATGTATAGGTGTAACATATATCTATAGGTGTGTCACCCCATCTCGCTTCTTAAGTTTTCGTGTCAACATGAAACTCCTGGCTGCCAAGAATGATAATATTGTGTTACAAAGAGTACATAAAACAGCTGCAAGATTTGGGTAAAACGGATTTTTAATAAATAGAAAGGTACAAGAGTAGAATTAATACTTATTAACTTACAATGGTTATGCATATCGACCGCTGTGATGTTAATTAGAGCAGATCCTGGCTTCCAAATTAGTTCGACACAACTGTAAAATAACCAAACATTGCGTATGCCAAATAAACATCATATTTGAGTACATAGTCATTGTTTTTTATTATATAAAATGACAGAGAGAGATAATTGGATTTTTTAAACATTTCTCCCCTGGAATATTGATTACATAAGTGCACTCATTACATAAGCAAACTCATTGCATAAGCGCACATAATTACATAATTTAATGCCATGAAACACTCCTTAAATTATTTATTAAACAAACTGCCTTAAAAGTTGTGAAGTTTTTTCTTCCTATACAGAAGCCAAAAAACCAGACTTTCACATCATCAGCCACGAATCTGTTTTCTCTGAAAATGTTGTGTGAATCTAATCTCATCCAACTTCAGCCATTTACATTTCGAATGAAACAGATCCACTTGATCGGACCATCTGCCGACTGGTACAACGAGTCGACTGTCCGGCGAATCAACTCGGTCACAAAAGTCATACACTTTCTCAAGTACTGCCTGAAATTCCTCAACTTCGCCTTGTAAGTCGACCTCTTTCGAAACTAGGCCTTTGAAAACACCGAGGAAATATGTGTATAGTCCGATGTCAGCGGTGGAGAAAGACTTGTGCTGTTCTTTTTCCAGTTGTGTTGCCAACGCGACAGCTTCCGTTGATTCTTTGCATTCTTGCTTTTTGTAATACAGAATATCTCCCGTCTTCCAGTTCAACTTTCGTTTAAGCAATACGAGCGATTCGTTGAAATACTCTGTGATTAAAATTAAGTCAAATCGTTTTTCTGTCTGCTGTATGAAATAGGCAATGTAGCTTGTGTCATCGAACGGGTGGGATAAGTTGTATCCCAGATCCATGGATTGGCGGTTGTTCGTGTAAGAAGAGTAACCTCTGGTTTCGTACTTCTTGGGATTTTCCAGGAAGGTCTTCAGCGGCGTCGTTGAGTTTATTTGGGTCAAGTAGTTCATATTAAACTTCCGGAAGTAAGTGAACGACGAGACAAAATGCCTGAAAGGTTCTCGCAAAGTTGTGAATTTAAAGGTGTCGTTGTGGAGGAAGCGGAAAATTTGATCACTGTAAACGTGATGATGGTAGACCATGTCGTAAAATTGTATTTTGGGATCGAGCCTCAACTGCTTCGGGTGTAAAGGGGGTCGCTGGTTGATGTGCGCGCCGACGGGAAGCAGGGGCGTCAGTTCGTTGGCCCTGCAGTATTCTGCCAGAATGGAGAAGACTGTCGTACTAGCCGTTTTGTGGTTCTTCAAGTAGTAGACATGCAGTGTTGGGACTTTTTCGTGGATGAGTGACATCTTCAGGCGCCAGGGTGCCCCGAGCGATGGGAGATCATTCGTAGAAGTGTTGAGCAAAGCTGGCATTAAATAAACCAGGGCTATTGTGATACAAATTATCAGTGACCTGTGAGAATATATTAAAATTTAACACTTAATCAATAGGATTTTAATGGTCGTGGATAATGTAAATCTCAAAGTTAAAGGCCTACTTCATACATCACTGCGACTTCAGGCACTTGCATGAGTTAATACAACTCATGTTTTCTTTGTTGGATGTGAAATAAAGTAAATAAAGCTATTTTTTTAATTTTATGATTTGATATATATGTAGAATAGGATGACGTCGTCGGTAACTAACGAATAAATCTAGCATTGAACATAAGAAAAGCTTTCGCAATAATTATTTTCCAGAAAAAGTGAAATCAGGTTAACAAATGTACCATTTAGATATAGTAGAAATGGTTACATTAGCACACAAAAAAGGTGATGTTACTCAAATATATAGGCTATCAATTTGTTTTAAATTAATTTGTTTGTTTGTTGTTGTTTTTTTGCGGAATGGGGGGGGGGGGGTTTGTAGTTGGGAAAAAGCTTTAGTTTTTGTTAATCGTGTTTTCGTATATAATATTCTTGGCCTAAGTCAATTTTATTTAAGACCAATAACAAAGAGAGAATAATGTTATTTATAACTGACTCTACTCCCTTTAACTAATGGCACTGTGCCTCTCAATAACAATATTGTAAATATTTACATTCAAAGTTTCTAGATCAACACTTTGGCTCCTAATGAATCAAACAGTAGCTCGGATATAGTTTGGAACAGGTACAGTGACTTAAAACGAGGACAATATCAACTTACCATTTTGTAACAAGTCCCCAAGACGAGAAACGTACAGTCCGGGTCCGATGTTGCGTGTTATACGTCATAGTTACTTACTGGGTTGATCAGATAACAACTTCACATTTTTATTAAACAAATACATCTCATTTACTACCATCAAGACTTTTGCCATCTAAGCAGTGTAGATAGGTTCACCGAAACCATCCAGGTATTTAATAAGAACCTTGACCTGTTCTCCTGTAGTCCAAAGCTAGTACACAACCTAGCAGTCTTCCTCCTATTGTGCTCAGTACACACACCTCATTAATTGTCCCGTAGTGTAGTCCCCCAAAACCACCACTTTGTCAGGACAGAATCCTGTTACACTCTTGTCGCTGATAGCAGGGTGCGCTTGTCAAAAAGTTTATGTATTAGATAAATGACATCGCCAAAGGACAGGGAATGACGCGAATTTATTACGCTTGTGCGTACTTACGGCTGATGGCAAGGGTTCGAAAAATAAAATGTAGCCCGAATATTGAAAATCGTTGCACATCTCTCTTGAAAATGACCAAAAGCTCATACAATGATAGTTACACAGCTAATTTCAAAATAGTACGTTTACAATCAAATAGATATTTTGAAAATAGGTCAATTTTTCACTTTTAAATGAAAAAAAAAAACAAGCTTGAGTCGTAAACAAATGTGACGATCATTACTTAACATCCAATCACAATGTGTTTACGCGATGCAATTTTTTTAAAAAGTGGAATAAATTATTCATGTAAATATTTTTTGTTTGCAACTGAATTTGATTGCAACACAATGGAATACCTTGAAAAATAACGTTTTGCAGGTGTACTACTCCTGCCCATGCTCTGGAGCAAACCCTCTAACAGGTTTTGGGTCGTTTGCCAGGTTTGTGTTGCAATGTCATCGTGACCTCAGTTAGGCTTTACATATTTGCAGTGAAGAATAATGTGTTTACTACCGTATGATAAAGTTCGGATAAAGATTCAAAACAGTTCACAACAGTAGTCAACTAGTCCACAGCAGCCCCCAAACCACCCACCCCATTCCCCCCAACCGCCCCACCCCCCTATTTTTTAGGCCATTCGTGAAATTAAGTATGAACGATTTAAACTGGTATTCATAAATAATCACTCTTTTTTTAATATTCTTTTTTTTTTCTTCTTCTTTTACTGTGAGTGTGTGAGCCTAACGCAAAGGGAAAGTTTCTGTCTTTGTTTAAAAGCATCTTATTTTAGCACAAACGTTTTTATTTAATGTTTTATTTCAGTGATTGTAATGACGCTTTATGTGCACGATAGATTAAGCCCCGCGCCTCCCCTCCCACCCCAGGACATCTGGTTTTTATGTGACTAGATCATTTAGTAACGTTAACATGTTTTTTTTTCAATTAGAAAGAAATATTCCCGGGGGGGGGGGATAAACTGACATTAATTAACGTGTAGGCCTTTAACAGATAATATGTGATGGACTGCATTCACATTGTGTCAATGAAGAAGTCTCTAACCCGAAACGTCCGAATCTTATTGTTCTGTCTATTAGTCCAAGCTTAACATACGTTGTTCTTATATTTAATAGTCCTTTACAGTGGAGTATCCAGAGTTTGTGACGCCCCGGGACACACTTTGACCCTCCCACCCCGCTCCCTCACCCCCCACCCCCCAACAAAAAAAATACACCGTATGATGAATGAAATCCACAATGAACGCATGATATCAATAGAAAATTAGCTAGATTCAGTGGACAGAAAACGACACCCCAAACTACATTTTCCACCCGTGGTGGTCCGTTCCTCTTCGCCTGTCTGCCTACGCCAGGGGATGCATCATATTGTATTGCCTTTGAAAAGCAACAGTTTCTGTGACACGAAGACATTTTATTATAGATGGTTCGATATGCCCATCACGACGGCGTTCTGCCGTTACCCATTTAAAATAATATATATATATATATATATATATATATATATANTATATATATATATATATATATATATATATATATATATATATATATATAGGTATACTATGAAGACGGTGGAATGTTGGGCTTGGCCATAGCTATACCAGTTGTCTAACGCTGAAATTGTGTGGTCAGGTGCTGACTGGGAAACAGAAGAGTATGTTGCAAAGGATCTCAATTTGTTTGACGTTTCGTTATTTCGAAGTGCATCTTTTTATTTTTATTTTAAAGAAAATAACATACAATTGGTCCTGATTCTATTATTAAATAAATGATCTCGCTTTTTTAATTTTTTTTTTAATGAGTGAGTTCATATTTCCCTCATCATATCCCATGTCATTCATTCCGTGTTGAACGTGGCACATTTTGAGAACCCTCACAAAGTATGAGAGTTTATGAGGTTGAAATTAGGTCTGGGGTACGGTTGGGTAATTAAAGTCTTTTAATTATGACTCTCGCGTTGTTGATGTAAATTAATGAATAGCTTGTAAAAATTTCACCTGGGGATTTTATTACTTTTTAAAAAGGTTAAATACCACTTGTCATATGCTTCACAATTGGGCACTTTATACGCCAAGTGTATGTGCTAAGAGAACAACAATTTAGCACAGTGTTTCTATCAGTGGACATTACGTGCAGTGGCGTAGCGAGAAATTGTGCCATCCGGGGTGGACTTTAAGTTGTCCCTCCTCCCCCAAGCCCCTGCAAAAAAGCAACAAACCAACATAGTGTTTTTAGTAGGTGAAACCTGGAAATAACGAACCTTGAAATAACACTGTCCCTGGCATATGGGCTATCTCGTCCACGAATGTAATAATATGTAACACTTGTAAATACTGTAAATAGCCCCATGTTTTCTTTGGTCTAAGGGTTGAGTTATATTCAGTCTCACTGTTTATAGAGAGGAGCCGGTAAGTCACTTTAATCAGCGGTTGGCGGATGGTTTGGGGGGTGGGGAGGGGAGAGAAATAAATCAACAGCGCTAAATGCTCCCGTGCCAAAAGAAAGTTTCGACCTGGGAGACCCCTGTGGACCTGGGAGACCCCTGTGGACCTGGGAGACCCCTGTGGACCTGGGAGACCCCTGTGGACCTGGGAGACCCCTGTGGACCTGGGAGACCCCTGTGGACCTGGGAGACCCCTGTGGACCTGGGAGACCCTTGTGGACCTGGGAGACCCCTGTGGACCTGGGAGACCCCTGTGGACCTGGGAGACCCTTGTGAACCTGGGAGACCCCTGTGGACCTGGGAGACCCCTGTGGACCTGGGAGACCCCTGTGGACCTGGGAGACCCCACTTCCCACCATGAAAAGTTTATAAAAAATTCAAGAATTTATTTTGACGTATACTTAAATTTAGTGTTGTTTCAATCAACACTTATTTGATTGAGAAATGTTGTGAAATTTAAAATGCTAATAAGGGGCATAGACTGCAATCAGATTATGTGAAAAGGAATAGACGAAACAAAATATGGGGAAACTCGAAGAAAAAAAAAAAGACCCAACAAATAACGAACACTTTGGCAATAAGCCTTCTTCCAACGCCGGCCTTAGGTAAACTTTCGCCCTGTTCGAAGCACCCGCTCGGCGCCCCCTTCCCAGACTCTGTAAGGCTCAGCTTTTTTTCCGCTTACGACTTAGGCTATGGAGTACGTTTTATAAGATGCTATACAAGTAGCTAGCCATTCGCCTATTAGCATGCACATTAACTTAGACTGTTTAGTTTGTCTTCTGTACCCGAGGTTCACACTTCACTATGGTAAACTAATGGAAATGGAATTTAAATATTTACTGGGCGCCGTAGACGCCACTATGGCCACGGCGCCCTGCGCGTGGGCATAGGTCGCACATTGCACCCTAAAGGCCGGCGTTGCTTCTTTGGCGAACAAACAATAGCAGCAACAAAAAAAAAAAAAAAAAAAAAAAAAAAAAAAAAAAAAAAAAAAAAAAAAAAAAAAAAAAGAAAACACAAATAACTACTGCTGCCCTGGTGCTTCGGATGAGTTGTGGTTGTAGCGCTGAGTTGTCATATAGAGTAATATGGGGATCCGGGAAAAATTTTTAAAGAAGCGTTCTTGTCGATTCTGGCTTCTTTCTATTTTAAAATGTAAAAATTAAAATAAAAATGCAAACATTGAAGGCGTTCTGAGTTTTATTTCATTATATGCATTTGTGTCATCGTGCAACATGTTGAATCATTTAACTCATGAGGCTCAACGGTGGTCGGCCTGGGCGTAATACAATCTCTATAAATGAACAATGAATAGACAGATATGTGTCCCTATGCTGAGTGTACCCAGGGCCTCGTACTACAAATGGCTGTCTATGAGCAATGCACTGACATTTATGTGTACATATGCTGACTGCACTCAAAGCCTAATACGCCTTAGTCAGACCATGCATCACACCAAGGAAAAATTAATTTGCAAACACTTGATACTTTTCAAAGTCATAATCGCAGTGCTGGATTTATTGTAAGTTCAAACAAAACCATTCCCTTTTGGACTACAAATTCCGAGGAGTAGCTTATAATTTACGTATTAGAGAGATTTCTTAAGAAATTATACTATAAATAAACTAAATTAACTATATATATATATATATATATATATAATCACAATGGCCACATTTAAATTGATCTTTATAAAGTGCATCTTTATTAAATGTCTGTTTCTCTTGGGCCCTAACTTCTGGAAGCTGTTTTTCTCATTAAAAATATATAAAAATCTAACTCTTAATACATTTTACATGTTTTCTTTTTGCACCCTGGAGTGCTAAAGCATAGGTAATAGGTACATTTTGTTGTGTTAGTGTAGGTCAGCGGTCGGCAAATCACGGCTCTCCGGCCGCATGCGGCTCTTTAGCGACCTGAGTGCGGCTCGGACAGTCGGCCAAAAATCGGTTTTGACTCCGAAAAACATGGTTCTTGGCAGATTCTTGAAAAGAAATTTAACTCTCCAAATTTTTGTAAACTGTCCTGCTGCTGATTTTTTGGCTCTTTCGAATAATGAGTTTTCCGACCTCTAGTTTAGACCTATATTATTCCATAAATTGGCCTCTATTATTCCAGCTGGCACGTTGGCCTGCACTGAGCCGGTTATTTCATATCACACACGTCATCAAAAGAGAATTTCTCTGAAATACCATCCCTGGGTGACGGCTTCTTTTTTTCTTACTTCGCCTTTTCCCCTTTTACTTTCCCAATATTTCAATTTATTTGGGTAGCACTAATTAGGATAAATACATTGTATAGAAATAGAACTGAGCCATTGCTTTCAGAGCTCTCCGGTATCTCATAATATGTCTAGTAAGGGATGCTAAAATACAATTATTTCTTGCGTCTGTTAATCAAT